AGTATTATGTTAACAATTTCCAGCTGTCTTTTTTGGTATGTTTATATTTCATTCAGCAATGATGACAAGATAGAAAGTTGGCTAAGCGACATTTGTGGCTAATTAGACAATAAAACAAGTCGATCCTTCGTACCAAAAGTTGCTTGATTCTGTGACCAGAGAGCTAAGTGCCATTTTGCCATTTTGCCAACAAGGTAATATGTCGTACACATGAATTGCAAATGACATCTCTAGAAATGTGTTCATAAATCATTTAATTAATTGCTTAATTCATTAAAGAAATTGAACTTTCATGAAATTAGACGAGCTACTACTGACAAAGTTTTGCTCGAGAACCATTTGGTTCTCATGACAATTTTTAAGAATAGTAGTTACTTTATTCTAAATAGATTAATTATTTCGAGACAAAAAGAATATTAACTTTGACGCTGGTAATATATTGTCGAGCAACATTGAGTAAATCGCTCCAGCCTTCCATTATTCCGAAAATCTAAATCCTTTTTTATCTTGCTTAATTAGGACTTGGACAATCAAATTTTAACTGGTCGAAAAATCAGTATATACTCCCTTCGGTCCTTGTTATAAGGTATTTTGACTTTTCGTTGATTAAAAATGTATATTAAATTAAATTTAGGACAAATCAAAATGCCTTATATTAAGAATCAGATGAAATATATTAGATGAATGTCAGTATTTCGTTATGGTCATGAACTCATTGATGTCTTTAGAAGGGTAGTTACAACTTAACGATACAATATTTGAAACTTTTCCAAGATATATTATCCAATACCTATAAATCAAAATCACCAAATTTAGGGACTTTGTGGTAGCTAGATTAATCAATTGCACCCTACTACCACCTTTTATAAAACCTATAGCCATGTTTTCAGGCGGTCATGAATCATTACCAGGAACCTCTCAGAAAAGCAAAATAATTAGAATAGAATTTTATTTACTATTTGTTGACCGGTCCACTTAATTATTATATATGATTAATTATGTGCTTAGAATATTAACCGTTTGCATGCCCCTTGGAAACATCTCTATGAACAACCTTCGTTGTACATTGGATAAACTAATTAAAGATGTTTTTAATCGACTAATATTTTTCCAACCGACAATTTTTTTAAAAAAAAATTTCCTTCTAACTTGAGCTACTAGTTTCTTTTTATTATTTTTTTCTTTGTAATTATTCCACTGGAATAATGAGGAGGACCGTGTTGAAATAAGAAATGAATAGTTCAGGAGAATGAAAACTTAAAGTAAAGCGAGTGCAACACGTAGTAGGAGACAAAGAATAAAGCATCTTAATTGAATATATTATGTACAATGATAAATTACTACCTCCGTCACAAAAAAATAGTCCACATTGAGTTTTTAAATTTGTACACAATTTTCAAATTTGTACTAAAAACAGTACAAAATTCAAAAGTCAATGTGGACTATTTTTGTGAGACGGAGGGAGTATTATTTAACATATACATGCTGCTAATCGTACGTACCAATATTTATCTTAAGTAACATTCAACAAAATTTCTGGTGGATTTTACGTGCATATATTCCATGGTAGATGTCAAAGTACATAATTCTCTAAGATGAGTAGATGATAAAGTAAAAAATGAAATAAAAAATGTCGTAGTCCTTTGTTCGAAATAAAAGTATATTATTGAATAATTATGACGCATGACTCTAATTTAATTTTCATAACTTGGAAAAAAAAATTTTAAGAACATGGTTATGATGTATCTTGTTTCTAAACCGTCTTGAATCAAATAGAGATTAGTATGAGTTTGTATGTGTCGGTTAAGATTATTTTATGATTTACGTCAAACAAATAAAAGTGGAAAAAAAAAATCGAATGTCTAGAACAGAATAATGTTCGAACTCGTGAAGCCCATATAATCATATAGTTCACACATACTTTTTGTTAAATTTCCAAAGCAACAAAAGAGAGGAAACTGACTGGGAATTTGCATCTTTGGTTGTTCACATTCAGGTCGAAACATAGTACTCATGGTGAATGATATGCTCAAATGTAATCATACTTTTTTCCTTATGTTCAAACGCAAACTAAAGCTAATTAGTAAATTACCGTACTAATTAGGGTTAAAAAAAACCAGAGTATTCGATATTGCCTTTTTTTTTTAATCTTCTGTTTTTTGATTTTCTTTGACGTGATGAGAAAGTGTTTTTTGAAGTTACTGAGCACTTTCCCTAAGGAATAATTGCATGTACACGAACGCGGCTTATAAGAACTGGACCCCAAACTTGTTTGATGACAAATTTGCACCAAAAACACACAGTCACACACTAAAGAGTATTAGAGAATATGAGAATCTCGTGGGGGTGGTTTGAGAGAAATGATTCAGTCATTCAGACAAACAAACAAGATGGGACTTTCTTTGCAAGTACTTAAATCGTGGTTTTATGATTCATTTCGAATCTTTTTTTGAAGTTTACTTTCTTCTTTATTGAGTGTTTATGGGTAGGTGATATATCAATTAAAGAGACCAATTAGTACACAATATATAGCTCACAAATAATGCAGGTTCTTTGTTATTTACTCGATTTAATGGACAAGAAATGAAGGTGATGGACTGATTGGAGGGCTAAATCGAGATTGTATTCATGGAGTTAAACTAAATTGTTTTGGAAGATTAGGGACTAAAATTAAATGTGGGATCCAAACTAAAGGAGTCTTGATATAATTTACCTCAACCATGCACGCCCTTCCGCTATTTTTTTTTTTTTTTGTGCTTTTTGATTTTTCCTTCCAAGTATTAAAACCTTCTTCAACCAATTTTCATCTTATCTTAATGATGTTTATGCTTAACCAATTACGGATCAAAGAATATATATATATATATATATTCATATAATCTGCGATAAATTTGTCTATAATGAGCTGAGTAATTTATGTTTTCGTTATCTACCTAAGTTTTGTATCTAAGAGTAGTTATATTAATAAATGACTATATCGCACACTCGAAGAGTAATTCGGATGTCTAAAACACTGTCTGTCACTGGTAATTAAACAGAGGATCATAATGAAAACTTAAAAAGGGTTGTCTAACAAATTTCAGATACTTGAAATGACCAAAGAATGATTTTTTATATTCTATGTTGACCTTTCTAGAAATGACACGTTTAGCATTTCCTTAAGTAGGTATTTAGCCTAATTTGTAAGGTCTGAGGTCAGGGTCAACGTCCAATAGGGTTTATTTTTTCATTCACTGGGCAACAAGAAGGAAGGATCGTTTTCCGTTGAAATGACGAGAAGTGAGCACAAAGATAAATCTTTTTTTCTTCTCTCCTTGGTCATCGCCCTTTTAAAATGCTTAAATTCAGCAGGGTTTTTGGAACTAAATGAGCTGAAACATTGATGCTTATAATCCAAGCAAACCATATTGCTTCATTTGCAGCCAACATATGTCAGTGAGAGACAAACGTAATATACATAATATTGCTCCGACTATAGTAAAGATTAATGGTAATGACATGATTCTCTTGTATGATCTGGTCATTGTAAAAATTAAACCAATTAATCACTTAAACAGATCATTCCATACTTTATTGTTTTCCATTTAGCAGACCGAGCAAATTGAAATTTTTATCTTGAAATTGTGTTAATTAAGTATTTTTTTATTATTTCCCTCATTTTGGTGTTTAATAAACGTCCATCGTTGACAATGCCTTCACAAAGGAGGCAATCTCGTAGTATTTAGGAGTAAGTTTTTGGCCGTGGATGAATGTCCAATTGTTTACCCTAGTGAATTTGCGAAAAATCTCATGTGGGATACCAAGCAAACATATATATGATGGATGTAAATGGGAGAAAATATTAACACTAGAATTATGAAAGCCACGTGGCATCTTTGGGAACCTAGTGTCTTGCCCTATAGAAATAGAGTATTCATTTTGCATGGTTTTCTGTGATTTTGTCTGCATTTCAATAAATCCAATGTTAAATCAGAAACAAGAAGTTCCATAAATAAGAGAGAGAAACAGAAATAAAAATGGCCTTCAATCTTCATATATTGAATTAGTATTATTATAATATTATTATTATATAATTATTCTTCAGAAAAAATTTCCACAGAAATTCTTGTAGCATTCAATCAACCACGTCACCAAGAAAACAAAAATCAATGCCCAAATAAAGGGGTTCACATAAAATCATTTTTCTATTAAAAAAAAACATATATTTCCTTACCGAGTAAACACGTCAAAAATAAGTCTGGCTAAATACCCTTTAATGATGAAATTAAAACCTATAACTTTTATTACTAGTTCAGAAAATGGAATTAAATTGTCACATGCCATTGCTATTCCCTTACCCAACACCCATGTGGACCCTTATAATTCACATGGGAGGTTCCCTTCCTTCTAGTCTCTCCAACCCTTTAGAATTTAACTCATGCCCTAATTCAGATTAGTAAAGACAGTGATTTTCGGACGTATAATGTAATATATTTTATCGGTTCCAAAAAATATTTGTATTGTATTTTGCTAATTATAGTAATTTACGTTATTTTTGTGAAACAAAGAAGTGTAAAAATTAACATGCATTCGACAAACCAACTCAGTCACATTGTTTTAGTTGGAAGTATCTGATTTCGAATTAACTAAGATAGTGATCTTAAATAGCGAATGTAATATCGGAAAATCAACGTCTCCGATTTCTTTCCTACGTCCTCCTAAAATGCATCTGGACCGTCTACCACCCAACCCAAATAACCCAATCCCCCCAAAACCACCTAATTAAACTCTCTCAAATGGTAATTTTGATCTCAAAAGTCGTCCATTTGGGCGGCTGAGCTTGTCCAACTCTTGTCCCCAAAATATAGGAGCACTTGCCTCAAAGGTGCTGCTTATGCGACCGACAGCTTAGCCTGCCTTTGTCCGAAAATCATGCACATTTTTCATTTTTTTGATACCATTTCCTAAGTCTTTTTTTTTTTCTTGTTTCTTAATCCTTTCATTAATTATACTTTATATGCAAAAAAAAAAAAAAAGAAATTGAAAATCATACCTATAAAAACACCTTTCCTCTTCCCCCTCACAAACAGTACTACAATCTCAAGGTTCACAAACAGGTCTCACAGAAGAAGAATAACAAGAAGTTTACAAGAAGTCTTCAAGACAAATCCTTTTTGGGTTTTTGGCTTTTGTCTATTGGTCATCAATCAGTTCAGGATAAAGGGTTTTTGCTGATTTAGCTTTTTGCTGAAGAACTTGGGTTCATTTTGGCATCTGGGCTGGTTTTTGGATTGCTTTCTGAAGTTTTGAGAAAAGGGAACTTTTTTTTGTTGAAGAAATGGAAGGCCTTGTGGCACATAATAATGATCTGAATCTTAAGGATACTGAGCTCAGGTTGGGGCTTCCAGGATCTGATGAATCTGATAATCAGAAAGAGGAATCAGTATCTTCATGTGTTAAGAACACCAACAACAAGAGAAGCTTGACTGAGTTGGCTGCAGAGGACAGCTCTGCTTCTAAAAAGAGCCTAGATGTTGTTGAGAGCAAACCTGCTGCAAAGTATGTTTCTTTCTTTTCTTTTTTTTGTTTCTTTCCATATTGAAAATGTGTATTATCAGAACAAATTGCTGATATTTTCAATTGGTTTTATGTTAATTGCAGAGCACAAATTGTGGGTTGGCCACCAGTTAGATCCTACAGGAAAAACAGTTTCCAGCTGAAGAAGACAGAAGCTGAACAGTCTGGTTTCTTTGTTAAAGTGAGTATGGATGGAGCTCCATATCTAAGGAAGATTGATCTGAAAGTGTACAACAATTATGCAGAGCTCCTCAAAGCTTTGGAGAACATGTTCAAACTCACAATTGGTAAGAATATTTCTATGAATATCGCAGTATTCTTCGTTGAAGCTGTTTACTGTTTGTGCAAATGTCTGACTCAGAACTTTTTTTTTTTATCTGGGCCTTAATCAGGTGAATACTCTGAGAGAGAAGGTTACAAAGGGTCTGAATATGCACCTGCATATGAAGATAAAGATGGTGACTTGATGCTTGTTGGAGATGTTCCATGGGAGTAAGTTCCAAAAACTCTGTTTTTCATTAACAATTTCTCATGTTTTTTTGGCGTCGAAAAAATGCCCTGTAAATTAACCAGAGAACTAATTTATTTGCTTTACAATTTTGCAGTATGTTCTTGTCATCCTGCAAGAAACTCAGAATCATGAAAGGAGCTGATGCCAAAGGCCTTGGTGTTGGGGCATAGTAAATGCTCCCAAATTTGGACCAAAAAACCTGAAAAGGAAGCAGAAGAGAAAAGAGTTAACCTCTCTGGGGGAAGAGAAGGATAACATGTTTCTCCTCTCATCAAAAAGCTTGGGTTCTCGAAGATAAGAAGAAATTTTTGTTGATTTTCAAAAGCCTTCTTGTAATCAAAAAGACTAGGAGAAAAGTTAAATTATTAAACAGATGAAAGGCTTTTTTATTATTACAAACTACAGTTTTTCTTTGTTCTTTCTTTCTCTTTTTAGGTTTATCATGCAGTGACCAAAAAAAAAAAAAAAACCAGGGTGGTTTTTTCAGATCTCTGTAACGTCTGTGTTCTTTTCTGCTGCTTACTGTAATAATCTGTTAAGACAAAAACTTAATATATGATGTTTTGCTTCTGTAAAGAAAGATTTGTAGAGGGACTTGATTTGATCCTTGCTACATGAATTTGCTTTTGTTTTTCTTCACACAAATTTATAGTACTATTCTAGTATTCTTTCATACATCACTTATTTCTTGTCAGATAATACGAACACTTAACATTGGTAAATTTCTCCTAATCAACTTCCATTGATATCTTGAAGAACTTAAAATCCTTCTTTGAAAGAAGAATGATATCCTCTTCCATTTGATTAAATCTTGGACTATATTCTAATCAATGACAATAGGGTCATCACAAATCGTTTAATTTGCTTCTTACATTCTTGATCTACATTGATCTACATTAGATTATCTGAAATTGATTGATTCATCTTCAAGTCATCTCCATTTGTGACATTACTCTCTGGGCAAGAACTTTGAATCTTCAAAGTCGTTACTTTTCTACAAGAAAAAATGGCCAAAATGATATAATAATTAATAAGCCCTTTTGTTTGGTAGCCGCCTGCTTAGAGCCAATAAACCACTTCCAATAAACAATCGGTACTAAGTTACTAACGAACAAGTGGATTGAAGGCTCCCAATCCCATCATATCATTCCCCCACCGTAAGTTTTAAAGCATTTCAGATCTGAATAACTTAGTTTAAAGAATTATATCTTCCCAAAATGAATAGTTATGTTTATTAAAACTGTGGATTAATTTTTCTGTGTATTTTGAAGAAATTACGTATTCCGTGGGTTCTGAACTTTTTGTATTATTTTTAGTATAACAAGCAAACAAACAGGTTCAAGAAATAGAGATTCATTTTAATACAAGTTCAGGAAATGGTCTTTCTTCCATTCCATTAAACAACTGACACGTGCAGTTTTTTACTTCCCCATACATATAAACAGTATTAGACCGAAAGGATACAAACTTATTCTGTTGTTTAACTTCTATTCAACAGAGAATCCCAGGCAATAAACATTGTCTTTGGGACTGGAGATTTACAGCGTTAAAAAAAAAAAAAAAAAATCACATGCCACCATTCAATTTGAATCATAGTTAGTCAGTCAATAGACAAAAATCAGGAATCCAAAGGTCAGATGTTGTAACAAACACAATCATCACTGCAACAAACTTCCCTGAACCAATACAGTCTCATCTCCAATGAAAACTTCCATTCATTTCCAGTTAATTAAGATCCGTGCATCTAATTCAAAATCAATTAACAAAAAAAATTTTGTTCCTTACTTTACTATTCCATCTGTCTCGAAATTATTATCCAGTTTGAATTTTTATTTTCAGTTTACTTTATATTAAATTGAAAGTTCAAACTAGACAATAATTTTGGGACGAAGGAAAGTACTAGTTTATTTGGTTATCTTTTGGGTTGGGTAAAATCCAAAGTCATTCGTCACCCCACTATCAAGCAACAAATATCAAATTACTATCTTTCCATTTACAATCTCATTGGGGGGTGGATAAATTTTTTGTGCTTTGTGAATGCTTCACATATTGTATGTATACATATTGTATACATTGAAATGTTAAAAAGATGACTACATTTTGGAGCCCTGTGCTATAAAGCAAAGTTTTTTTTTTATTTACATGTACAATTTCATTGGAGAAAGTAAAATAAGTTCAATTCAATGCATTATCTTCTTGAAAGTTAACTACAATGGGGTATCTAGTTTTGATGTCATATGCTGTGGGTTCATTGAACTTAAAAATATTATGGCATGCTCATTGTCTACATAATGGGAAGCAAGCAAATTTGCAAATTGTATTACAATAGTAACAACTCTCTTTAGTTAAGATGCAGAATTTCTCTGCAGTAAACATGGTTTCCTCTGTCTCAATCCATATAACTGTCTGATTTTTTCGACCCGGATCGAATAAGATCCACAGATTAAAACATTGTGCATTAGGGCATGCAACTGATTAATTTCTTACTACCTTAAGTCAAACCAAAATGAAACTTTGAAGAAGGAATGAAAACCATTCTAATGTTGAAACAGAATAATATCCTAGCAGTTCGCCGCGGTTTTTGCAGTGGAATTGCAGAAATGCATGCTTCTTGCGATTAAGATAATATGTTTCAGCATATGCAAAAGAATGTAATCAGCCATTGGTGCAAATTAAGTTATATTAATGATTGATGGAGGAGGAAGAGCACATGGTTTAGAGGACAAAAAGGATTCTTGGGGGAAGATGACTAAATTATCGTAATAATTCAGACCTTAAAATAACCAAGGCAGTCAAACCAACCCTTCTGTTCATTTCACATTCTGTGTGTCATGTCTTGAGACGTGACAAAGTTTTACACTGACTGTCAATTTAACGCAACCTGATGTCGTATGACTATGTTAAGACTAATTTATGGAAGACTAACAAAGACAACTTATTGGTGTTTGTTTGGAGATAACTCATTTTACCTCTTAAACACAAAACTCAATGGAAAGAAAACATTATCCAAATAATTTTCTGATTTACATTTTAAATTCCAACTTGAAATACTTTTTGTTAGTGTAATGACCATTTTAGAACTATAAATAGTTCAGTGACAAATTTGGCAGGACTCTGTTGTTGAGTGATTGTTTTTGCAAAACTTCTTTATTACAATGACTATAATTGACAGTATTTAATTGTTTAGTGATGACTCGTACTTGATATTTTCAAAATGTAGTTCAAAATATTTTTTTCAAAACCAATATCCAAACAACTTTTTGTTCAAAATACCATCCAAATAACATTTTTATTTCTCATTTAGTTTTCAATTTGAAACACTTTCCACTTTTAAGTGGCAAACTGAAATGTAAGTTTACGTTAAAACAAGCACTTGATCATTGGAGCAAAATCATTTAGGATGCTGAGAATCTAAGGCATAAACTTTACGAATTTGTTATAGGTAGAATGATTTCTTGGTTTCAATCAAACAGCTAGGTTTGAAATTAAACAGAAAATAATGATAGAAACCATGCCATGACTGGGATAATAAATGTAGTTCATAAGCACAGAGTCAAAGATTCAAGTTATTAAAAAAAAAAAAAAAAGAAGCATAAACACATGCGACTGTCTGACGGAAAGTTGACAAGAATTAATCAAAACTATTCAGTGAATCAGTGCAGAAGAAAGAAATTTGGCAGAAAAAAGAACTCGTTATTGAGAATTCAGTCCTTCGGACCCTGATCATGAAATGGTCTTTCCTAAATTGAAGAGTGCCCATTGGATTCATTTTTTTCCTGGTTAAACTGAACCTACTTTGTTTAACAAAGATTAAAAGGATTCCATTTTTCTGTTTTCGAGAATAATGATGGTGTTAGTGCAATTTAGGATGAACATGGTGCTTTTTAGACCTTCGAATTCTTCAATTTTGTCGACGAAATGTAGGAGTACTTGTTAGTCTGCAAGCATATTCACATCGCATTCATCGATGTCATTGTTCATTGGATTAGTGATTTCATCAAACGAGTTAAGGGACAGTGAGTGGCCACTAATTAATGTTCAAAACAAGGATTACAAATGGTGGTATTGTAATTTTGTTGATTGATTTTTGAGTTGTTTGATTTGAATTCCCTGAGTTTCTCCGAGGATCTTGAGTTTAATGTGAAAGATGAATCTTCCATTAAGTACTACTTTTAGAAAACTAGTGCACGTTGAGTCTGAAGATTTATACTAGACAATAATTTTGGAACAGAAGGAGTACAAGTCACGTTACTAAATCACTTCACTAACTTTTAATAATTATACCATAAAACTCCATTAAAATATCTTTCTACATCCACACTTTTTTTCCCCCTTTGAAGAATCTCATTCTTTTTTTCTTCTGTTATGCCAAAATAGTAAAATTTATCCCATGTCAATATCTCATATCATAAAATATTTTCCCACTAGAGAAAATCAATAAAAATAATGACCATCACCTCCATATGGAAAGTTTTTGTAATTCAATTCATTTTCTAACCTCTCAATTCTCTATAAAAATATTATAATTTATTCATGGCGCCAAAAAAAAAAAAAAAATCCCTTTCCGTTATTTTTCAAAATTTTATTTTCTAAAATCAGTGAACGAAAAATTTTCATTATTAACTGAAATTTTGATGATTTTGAACACAAACTCTTTATTTTCATGTTAGCTAAATAAATGAATTTACATAATTTTATTTTCTTAAAGAAAATCGTAAATCAAAATATTTGTCTGCTTGCTAAGAGTAAATGTATATAGATTTGTTCTATACAGTAATCTATCAAGAATACATCATTAGGTTTTTTTTTTTCTGACAGGAGTGCCTATATCATTAGTTAATTATCTGATTAAAACCAAAATCACAAATCTAATAAATAAGTTATGTGTTTTGAATCTTCTTTAAATTTCTAGTGTAGAGTACCAGTCATTACGCGGGAAACTAAAATAATGTAATAGTATGAACAAAGGAGGAACATTACCACCAAAAAAAAAGAAGAAAAAATTCTATCATCATGGTGTAATGAGAATTGTATTATTTGAAAAAATAATTTATTTTTTTTATTTACAGTTAATAAATACTGTTTTAAAAATATAACACAGGACCTCCGCCTTGTCTTACACGACGAGACAATGCTAGAGTCTAGAGTAATGCTTGGACATTGACAAAAAAGTTACTTTGTCTAACGTAATACTCGGGACATTGACAAAATATGTACTCCCTCTGTCCTAAAATTATTGTTCAGTTTGAGAATTCATTTTTAGTACAATTTGAATTAAAAATCAAAATTTATACTGAACAATAATTATGGGACGGAGGAAGTAATTCTGAAGATATAGAAAATTCTAATTTTGCTAACGAGTTGGCTACTACATTCCCTTGTCGTCTAAATAAGGATATGTCAACCCGTCGGCCTAATTATCCCTTATTTTGTAAATCTCCAACAATTAATGTCCAACGTATTTATTATGAAAATTCAAACCAGATGGTCATTTCTAAACCGAAGAAATAGTGGACTTTGTTAGAAAATTATACCCATTTAGAAGAGATTTGGGCTACATAATACTGGCAGGTAAAAATAACGGGCTGCATAATGTTTTAGGCTGAACGTTCAATTTTAGCCCAATTAAAATCCAAAGCTGCCCAATTTAATTGGGCTGCTCACCTAAATTCAATAGTTGCACTTGTAGGGCTACGAGCTAAGACAGCAAGACTGAAAGAGACAAGAGTATCATAAAAACGACATCGTACGTCTCTGTTGACGATACTGTTTATTCAGCTCAGCTGAAGAAACCTAACAGTCTAACACCGGCGACCGTTATTCGGACAAATTCCTTTTCGTCGGCGTCCGCGTAGAGGTTTTCAGAATCTGAAATTTCCATTGAATTCATAGAAATTCCGTCACAATTAATCCATTCAGGGGAGTAGAATGGCTCACGGTGGCTACGGCAAGCGCCGAGTAGCCGAGCGTCAGCAAGCCGGCCGTCGCCGGCCGAAATCCCTGGGGGTTGATAAAAAAGCCAAGCCAAAGGCCGTTTCCGTTAAGAACCAAATTCGTTCTATCGAACGCATGCTCCGCAAAGTACTATTTCCTTTCTCGCTCTCACCTATTCAATCTAAGTTATTATAACTTTGCATTGTTTATGGTTATTTCTATTTTGTCAATTTTGTTGAGGCTATTTGAAGTTTATTGGAATTTTTGCATCACATTAAAAGGGCAAAGTCTTGAACATTTTTGTTTGATATGTTACTGATTTCAGCTGCTTAGTAATTCCAATGACAGAAGTGAAGTACACTAATTATAATAGGAATTATAATGTTTGTACTCTTTCTGAGATGGAAGTTTTATATTTCTAACTCCCAACTGAGTTAACCTAGCTGTTTATTGTTGACAATTCTGAAACACTGAATTTGATCAAAATTATGCTGCTTGGGTATCGTTTCAGATGTTGCAATATGATTACTCTTGACCTTGTCTTCTGTCTTTGATGTTTTTCTTTTGCTGTAAATTTCAAGGAGAAAATCGTACGATCGAAACTAGGTTTTGAAATTTAAGTGTTTTGGGATCACTACGGTTAAGCTTATATATTGCTTTCTTTTTGGGGGTGAGGAGGTCATCTGTTTTATGGGCATATTTTGTGTGATTATGTTTATATTTATCTGCTTCATTCAATGACTGATTGTTATTGTTATCCATTGTTATGTTTAGGATCTGCCGCCTGCAGTTAAAGAGGCCCAAGAAAAGAAGTTGGATGGACTCAAGAAACTTCAAGAGGAACAGAATCGTAAGGCTATGGCCCAGAAGATGAACTTACGTTATCGGAAGATCAGATTTTTTGGTAAATTTTAATTCCTCCACATGCACTTTGTTTTGCTTACAGAAATTTTCAAGTACTGCTGGCAATCTAAGTATGTAATGATTTACTTTGGGAACCATTAATAATGCTTGCGCAGAGAGAAGAAAGATTGAGAGGAGGATAAGAAGAGTGGAGAGACAACTGCGTGCTTTGACTGGTGAGGCCCGTGAAGCGGAGCTAGCTGAGCAACTTTCTAAGTCAAAAGAAGATCTTCTGCAAGACCTTGAATATGTTAGGGTAGGTGTTGGAAATGCTTTCATATTACTCATTAACCAATAATTAGTGGCCTTGTTGGTATGGTTATTGACAAACAGTTTTTGGCAGACTCTTGTTATCATCTGTTTGGTAATATAAATTCTTAGTGAGAATAGTGCTTTAAAATTATCAGAAGGAATGAACTTCAAATCAAACCAAGAGTTGGGGATTATGTTGCTGTTGACGTTGATGCTGATGTCAAGATGGATTTCCCTAGTCAGTCTTTTAAAATCCCACTTTCAAAAGAGATTTGATTACATAGGTTGTATTCTACTATCATTCAGGTTATGTGGGAGCTTGACTGAGGTAGTTCACTCCACCTCATGCTGGTCACTTGGAGTTTTGGCTCGTATATGGGCTAATATTCGCTTTATGAATCTGAAAGTCAGTTTATTTATTGTGGCTGGGTCAAAATATTGGATAGCTTAATCTTAGTTATTGAAAAATCTACCTTGAATGATATTAGCTGAAAGGACAATATTTATTATCTGCTTACCACTTATTTCCCTTAATTTGATCAAGTAATGGTTTCTCTTTATATCTACAGTTCTTTCCGAAAGATGAAGAGTATGTTCCATTGTTTACGGGAGGGGAAGGTGTGGAAATTACTGAAAAAAGGAACTCACTACGTAAGCTGGTTAAGGCAAAGCTTGTTGATGCAGCAGCAAATGGGAGGGATGTGGAAGGTTTTTCCTTTTCTTTCTTAGTTCTTGTCACTAGATTCAACTTGTTTTATTGGCACAGTGTTTTCTTTAGACATCTCCTCTGGGTGGCATGATGGGATTGACAGAATTATGGCAAATATTTTAGATTGTCTGAACCCCCACTTTTCCCCTGCCCCTAAAATAAAAGGACCTAGTAAGCAAAACCTTCTATTTTATGATTCTGTTTTTTGTTGTATTTACTGTCAAATGAAGTTGACGTTTTGCTTGAATTTCTTTCAGAGACAGGGAGTGAGGAGGATGGTCTTCTTGATCCAAGTGATGATGATTTCTTTTTATCTGGAAGCTCAAGCGATGATGCTGATGCAGATGATGAAGGGACAGATAAAAGTATAAGGTAATAGTTAAAATGTTTTCGGAGTTGCATTTTCGTTCTTCAGGATTTCCGTTTTAATTAAAAGTTCTTTTCTTGGAATAGAATTGTCTTTAAGCTGTTTACTTGTTTTCTGTTTGGGTGATGATGTCCTTGGTCGGTTGAGTCAGTGTGACCCAATCACACAGTCTGCTCCTGGTTTTGAGTCATTCATCTGTCTAATCTGCTGTGTATCTAACATAAAGGTTGAAAATTTGGTTTCAGGGAACAAGCTTCGAGTGCTTCTGGTAAAGCAGCTTCAGGCATGTCTAGCGATGAAAGAAATCAGGTATTTGATTTTGAGGTTCTGTTGTCTGTTTATTTGACATGAGTGTCTCGTTATTAATATTATAGCTTTTGATTGTGCTCATTTAGAGGCAGATTTCAGCTCGTGCATTAATGCCTCCGCCTAGACCATCAAAAAAATCATTTCATGGTTCTTCTAATGACAAGAGGGTTGGAAAATCTTGGAGTAAAAAACCAGCCTTCCATAAGCCAGAAATGTCTACATCTAGCAATACATCTAACAGCATTGGCTTCAGAAATCGACGGTCATCAGATCCAGTAACAGGGAACAGCGATAATGTAAGTTCCAATTCTGATGCTCGAAAACCTCGAAGGAAGAGAAGGCCAAAGAAGAAAAACAAGCAGGTAATTATTTATAACTTCTACTATTATCCATTTGACACACACAGTTGTTTTTGGGTTATGAAACGTTGGTGATCGGACTGTATCAATCCAGAAATGACCTCAGTTCCACTTTAGAGTCATTATATTGCCTGCCTGTTATCTTGTGGTCAGCATTATTTTTCATTTATGTCTGCATTGGTTGAATGCTTTTGTTACCACTTGAGATATCAGTTTCTTTTCCCATTTATAAGCATCACTTTTTCTTGATGTGCATCTTAAACTAGTATTGCTCTGGCTGATTTCCATACAATTGCTGGCGCTGTTCACAGGCCTGACAAGCGAATGCCGATGAATTTGAAGTCAAGCTAAGATTGTGAATGCTGTAGCCTACTGCGTCTGATATTCTCCTCGCCATCAGATGATGCCGCGATGCGTAACGGGTCGTGTGTAATCTGTGTTTTTCTCGAACTTCTGGACAGTCATATACATGATACATCAATATTCAGTACATGTGCAATATTTTTGTGGCGGATTTCAAATGCAGATGGATTCGATTATGTAATTCCCAAGTTTCCTCATTTCAAAGCGACAGAAGGGGATTACAATTAATTTTACTTCAAAAATCCGTGGATCCGGAAACCATCTGGAAATGAGTCTTTTCGGTTATTCTTTTCTTCAACCAAAATAAATGTTATCCAGAACAATGAGATTTCTTTTGTCCCGACAAGCCTTTTAGAGTTTTCCAGCCAAATCATCATCCACAGGATTGGCTTCGATTTTTTGTTCCCCACAGAATAAAGGAATTCGAGCTAAAGGCATCTGCCCAACCTCTTGATGTAACTAAAACATTCCGCTTAAAACATACTCCGTTCTAAAATTATTGTCTAGTTTGAAATGTCATTTTTAGTATAATTTGAACTAAAAATGAAAACTCAAACTGGACAATAATTATGTGACGGAGGGAGTAGTACTTATAAATAGCTAATTCAGTACACTATTCCACGCAAGGAAGCCTAACAGTTTTTGGTTGGTCTCATATTACACTTCATAGAAACACCAGAAATATATTCATCAAGCATGACTGATAATCTTAATGTCTCAGAACAAGGTCTGGATATCAAAACTCCCATGAATCAAAGGATTTCTTCAAATTTTTCAGCATCATCATCATCATGCTCCATCACTACTGCTGCAGCAGCTGAGCGAACGCTGAAGGGCAACGCTGTAACACCAAAGATGATCAATAGGGCAACATCAAAACTGTACCTACCAGCAACAACAATCAAAAGTTGCATCATCAACATCGTAGAGAGTTTTCATTTTCAGATTCATGAAAGTATGGCTTTGAATACACCAGAAAAGTTAAGGATTACCTATCCGAGCTATTTCCTTTAGATTTTTTGGGGTGGAAGAAGACAAGGCTGAAGCTGACGGAAGACGAATTGGTAACATCTGATCGAAACAAATTTCATGAAAATCCACCAAAACAAAAAAAAAAAAAAAGTCACCAATCTTCATCCTCATAAGTTATAATATCTATTCAACAAAAAAGGCATGAAATGCAAAAAGATCCCATGTTCCCTCCCATACATTTCAAAAGAGAGGCAAAAATTATCATAGAATCCCACCTACGTACGTAAGCCCCCCAAAAATAAAGCAAGCACGAGATTAACTAACACCTTTGGAAAAAAGCAATCACTATATGTATATATATATATATATATATCAAATGGTGAACTACAATGGGGTTCAAGAAAAGTTGATTGGGCGCCAATTCGCCAAACCCTAACTGTACGGATTTAAGAAAGTCACTCTTTGACAAGCGCTTAATAATAACTAGATACTTACCCCGGGCGAATGTCCGGGTTCCAACATTTTTTCTTAATATTATGTGGTATTGAGTAAATTAAATTTTTTTTGGAAAGAAAAAAAGAAAAGACATAACTAAAGAGGTAAACATATATACTCGCGAGAGACAAAGGCTCCATATAAAATACAAATCAACAGTTTATTCAATTGTAAAAGCGGTCATATCTCAGTCATGTTTGTCACCACCTCACCAAAAATCTCGTTTCCAAGAACCAAACGAAAAAAAGTAAGTAATTTCACTTTTTTTTTGTTTGAAAAGAAATAAGTAATTTCACTTCTAAATAAACAAAAAAAATTGCTGGGACCAGGTTGCCCCTTTCTGTTCCTTTTTACTTGAACCTGCAGCCTCTGGTGAACTCTCTTGAGAAAGCCTCATTTGAATCAACTCCAACAGGGAAGGGCTTTTCCTCAATCGCAAACCCAATGGACTTGGCTCATCTAATGGATTGTATTGAGAAGGAGCCGACGCTGGAAAACCACCTATATCCGCACTTTCTTGCTGCAATATGCTAATTATAATAAAATTCATTTTATTATAATCTTCTAGTCCTAAATTGGTTATATTTTAGTGATTATTAATGGATTTTGTTATGACTTTGTTGTTAGGTACCAAAAAGTGAAAAGATGGACCATTTTGGATTTTTACGGCCCTTTTACAAAGTCTTACGAAGTTAATAGATGAAGAAAATTCCAGCTACAAAGAATACACACAAATGGGTTCCTAGAAGATTCTTTTTACCAAGTCAACCTTCCAAATCTTGATCTCATATTCGGTTGTAGAGAATCATGCAAAAAAAATACTAATTTAGTGGAAAACTAGGATGAGATTTGATTTGGATTTTACTCCCATTTCTTTGGGATTTTTTTTTTCAGCCATTATGCACTATAAATAGTGGTCTCCTCAATTGATAAAAGCACCCCCGTAGCTTGCATTTTTTGGATGCTACTACTTTTTCCATTTTTGCCACCATTTTCATTTAGCCTTTTGTTTTAATTTTTTTACACCTTTAAAGATGTTTCTAGTCACCATAAGTGGCTAGTTTTCTTCATTTGGCTCAAGGATTTTTATTTTTTTATATTATATGTGAGACTACAAGTTTCATTTTATTTTTTTTACTTTTGATTCAAATACTTATTGATTTTGATTTATTTTATGAGAGTAGATACTTGATTAATCTGACAATTTAATCAAGTATTTTCTTCCAACTGCTACCAAATTGTTTATGTTGCGTTATCGTCTTAAACATTTGGTACTAAGTAGCACATTAGCAGATTATGCATATTGGTAGTGACACGTTGAATGTGCATGATTAGTCTAACTAGGAGATCAATAGGACAAAAATATTTTAATTGCAATTATCTCAATTATATTAGTTTTTTATTGGTTCACCTACATTTTCAAAGATTTTATTGCTATCATAATTTAATATGGAACGTTATCGTGCCCAGTTAAATTATGATAAATTTTGATTAGGTGTTGGGCTTGGTCAAATATTTTTTTGGAAAATATAAGGTTTTTTTACGGTTATCCTATTAAACCTACGGTTGAATGCTTGAGTTGTAGAAAAATCATTTTTAGTCGATGATCTGTAATATATTTGAAAAATATTCCTTGAACCAAGGTTTCCATTCTATTAATTTTTCTTAAATTTATTTACTTTAAATTTTGTCAATTTTATTTTGAAGAAAGAAAACAATCCCTCCCATTTTGTTACTTTTACAAAACCAAGTGTCAACAGTCGGCTCTCTTGGGATTCGACCTGATTCCACTGTTTCTACAATTTAATTTAGTCTATTTGAAATTCAGATTAATTTTTGCGGGTCTCGACAAACCCGCCACAATAATCAAAAACCCACAAAGTATTACGAAAAAATACAAAGCTCTCGATCCAAATCGAAAAAACTTCAGAAAAAATTACCAAACAAAACCATGGTTCCACGATTCAACCGCTTGAACTCAAGCACACAAACAAAACCATGGTTCCACGATTCAACCGCTTGAACTCAAGCACACAGATAATTTAATAAAATCAAAGATTGAGAAAGAAAAGGAATCAGTGACAGAAAAAGATAATTACGAACTTAAATCAAAGGAGAGAATTTGGATCGCTTGTGAAGAGGACCGTACTCTTTTTCCAAGTGGTCTTCAATCTCCGTTTTTACCGCCACTCTGCAACTCACTGCTTCTCATCACCGAATAAACCATCAAAATCAAGATAAAAAAAATCCCAAAATCGAGACCTAACCCAGTCAAATCACATGAATCAGTCAGTATCTTCGGCGAAACTACTAAAATTTCTTTTGTTTTTTTAAAAAATCAGAAACTCAAATCTAACGATCCCTGACTACTATTGTTCATACCTTGATCGAGTTCCCAAGGAGATTTGTGTCTGAATAGTTGAATCTTTCTATGGCGACTTTAGTTTCGTCGATTTTCTCAAAACTACACAAAGGTGTAGCTTCGCGCCGAATAATTCATTATGATATTAACCCGTGCTATCGAATACCACTATCAAATCTGAATCGATCACATCGGAGGTTAGGTTGCCATCGACGGAGGAGCTTTCGATTCGGCAGAAAATGGCGCCATTGTAAATTTGTGGAGAAGCCGGTATTTATCAAAAAATTCAAGAAAATCCGATCTTTATTAAAATTTGGGATTTGATTATGCGAAGCTCAAAATTTGATTTCTTGTTATAATTTGGAAGCTAAAATTGGGGAGTAGTTATCTGAAATTGGGGACGCATTTGATTCTGCCATGGAAGAAGCTCAAAATCTGATTTCTTGCTATAATTTGGGAATCAAATTTGGGGAGTAGTTATCTAGAATGGGGGACGCGTTAATGAAGCTAAAATTGAGGATTTCGTTTTGTTAATTTATTTATTTATATCCATTATAAAATTTTTAACAAAACCACTTTTGCTGAACATTTAGAGTACCACGTGATAAAATTATTTTATACTAAAAAAGATGTTTTGCGGGAAAATTTTCAACGTAGAACTGACACATGTCCTTGTCGTATACTACTTTAATTAAGTACAATAGATATATAGGGTGTTGATAAATTGAGAGCAAAAATGTTAGTATATAAAGAGCAATTTTTTTTCTAACTATCCATATTACCCTTTTATATGTTTTATTATTTAATACATCCTTATCTCTCTCCTTTTTCATGATTTATTTATCATTATCACATTAATTAAGTTTACTGCCTCAAATTCCAATTTGTTTTATTTTATCTTTTTCAAAAAGACTTTAATTTTTTTTTTTAAAAAAAAAAGCGTTCCAATCTCACATGGCAAATTTTGTTAATACATCATTGAGGATCTGCCTAGAAAAAGGGTTCCAATCTCACATCACCTTCCACTCGGTGGTTTTTTTTTTTCCAAATTTTCATATACATTTGTATTCCGCATATACAAAAATAATTTATTCTAAATGTATATTTATTAATGTAGTGGATTTTTTAAACTGCCCCGACTTTATTTGCTCCAATATTCAAGAAAAATCTCAAGATCACGTTATAGAAACTTTTTATTTTTTTTTACTTTGAATGAAAATTTTGACAGATCATGAAGGGAAGAAAACCAAACGCAATTTTTTAAAATAAATAGCAGAAACTTAATGGACTTAAAGTAGGAGGTAAATAAATAAATATTGATTAATAGGGTGTGAGAAATTTTTTCCTCTATATCATAAAGAAGGGGAGAGATTAAGGGGGGGAAAGAAGACAAATTTGGAATACTTAGTAAAAACGTGTAAAAAAAAACATGTAAAAGGGTAATATGGGTAGTTAGAAAAAAATTTGATTTTTATTTAATATTTTTGCTCTCAATTTATCAACACCCTAATATATATATCAGAAAATGTCAATAACAAAGCTGCAGACCTGCTCTATTGATAGAGGGTTTCTGATTATTCCCGATCCTATTAGGTTTACTAATTTCCTTAAAACCAAGGACGGAACTAACATAATTAAAAGAAAAAAAGACATAATAAAGAGGAAACTAACTACATACTATTTTTTTAAACTTTTCCTCTACCAATATGGATTTATGACAATGTTCCTTCATCAAGAGATGACCCAATGTGTGTATATTAGAAGAAACCGAAAAAGAGAGACATGGTGGAAATCTTTTTTGTGTTTATCGATTGATACTCCCTCTGTCTCATCCCATAATTATTGTCCAGTTTTAATTTTCATTTCTAGTTTAATTTGTACTAAAAATGAAAATCTAAACTGGACAATAATTTTGGGACGGAAGAAGTATAATGTTTGTATATATACAAAGAAATAGACTTCTACCAAATCCATTACATTCAATTCTAGATAAGACCAAATCAAAGCCTCTAATCAAATTCCTAAAACAGTGAATATAGGCAATAGTAAACATGACATATAATCCCATCGCATCATTTTTCCCAGTTTCTCTCTACTCCGTCATACATCTATAGAAAAAGTAAAAGTGAGACAAATATTTGATGAACCAAAATACAATACAGATTAGGGGGTGCCAACTTTATCCAAACAAAGTCAATGACAAGTATCAAAATTGATATACTCCCTCTGTTCCATAATTATTGTCTAGTTTGAGATTTCACTTTTAGTACAATTTGAACTAGGAATGAAAACTGTGGAATGGAGGGAGTAGCATATATTTTAGGGACAAAAAACCCTTGAATTCAAGGAACTGAGCAAAACCATATAAACATGTTAGGGATAGTTTATTAAATAAATCCTTTTAACAATCTTGTGTACCAAAAGTAATCTTTTATGTAACGTTATTTATCACATAATAATTTATGGGCCTAACTATAAACAAAAAAAGTACTACAAATTGCTAGTCTGTCGGATCCCGCCTTTACTCATTGAAACCACGCTTTTTCTCAAGTCTCGACGGAGTCAAGACTTCCCAAGTTCCAACAGCAGCAAGTATATATTGACTGGAATAGCCCCAAGAACGATGCATTGAGCATTCAAATCATAAGGGTGAAGATGGAAACCGGCAAAAAATTCTTAAAATGTTGTTAAAAGAGGATTACGTATTAAAATAATTTAAACCAAAAAAAGAAAAAACAAAAAAAAAAAGAGATTTATACGTGCCGGACTTCTACGACAGGTCACCGGCAGAGACAGAGCTATGGAAGCTCCGAAAACGACGGTAGTAATCTTAACGCTAATTTTAGTGAATTCGGACATCTTCATTCCCAGAACTTCGTCGGAAGGCGTTACCGCGGAGGAAGCTGTTCAGCTCAGAGATGAGGTATATTATTTGTACACCTAGATCACACTCATTCTTTTCCTTTTGCTCTTGTTCTTTGTTGAATGAATTAACATCATCAAATCCAGTTTTAAAAAAGCTCTGATTCAGTGGGATTACAAGTTAGAATCAATAGTTTCCTCTCTCTTTGTTGCGTTTTGGCGGAATTGGCTTTTTGCAAAATGCTTGCTTGTTCATTTAATTGAGCATTGGTTTAGATAATTAAGTTCGTTAAGTTCAGTTTCAATAGTTTCTTTATCTAAAATTTTAGTCTATGTGGGGAGAAAGATGGAAGAGTCAATGAAATGTGGTAGCTTTATGGAAAAGTCGAAAACTTTGTTTTGAATCAGAAAGTTTCATATGATTGCCTAATGGGAAATTTTGATTTGGATTTTCGCTTCTATGATTTAATGGGGTTTTAGATGTGTGTGTGTGGTGATGCATTGGTGAATTGGCTTTTTTGCATTCCTTGCAGGTTCGCGAAATGTTCTATCATGCTTTTGATGGGTATATGGAGCATGCTTTCCCTCGTGATGAGTTAAAGCCTTTGTCTTGCGGAGGTGAAGATACACTTGGTGGCTATGCTTTGACATTGGTGCAAATTTCCTATTCCTTTCCATGAAAATATTTTATTCTATTTTATTTTATTTTTTGTCTTAAACTTCTTAGTTAGTTTTCTTATTTCGTTACTTTGCCAGATCGATTCTCTTGACACGTTGGCTTTACTTGGTGACAAAGAACGCTTCAGCACTTCTGTTGAATGGATTGGTAAAAATCTTCAGTTTGATATTGTGAGTACGGATTGTGTCATCTTGTGGGGCAGCAACTGCCCTATTTGCTTTCCTGGTGTAGATATGAATGTATTATTTGGGTTTGATGTGCTAAGGTATATTCCATGTTTTGGATCTATTGAATGTTATGGAAGTGAAAGCTAAATTTGGGTCTGCTAAATTTGGGTCTGTTAAACATGACTAGCAATGATACAGGATATGCTATTTGCAAGAAATTTGTTCCATGTGGTTCCTTGTGTTCATTTGTACACGACAGAATGTTTCATTTGATGTTGGTACCATCAGAAAATGATGTCAGAAGATTTAAAATGTGGTAAAATTGTAGTCACTATTTTGGCCTGGAAAATTATGTCTTCCCATTTTTACTCAACTAGTTGTATGATAAATTAAGTTTACGTTTTCCCATATTTACTTAATAGTCTCGTATTTGGCTGGACCAGCTATTAACTTAAGTTTTAAAGTGTTGTAAGGTGTTATTTGTGAATCCAATCTGGTGTATTCAAACAGTCATATGTTCATGCTAGTTAATGTGCTGAGGAGCCAATACATATTTAATTTAATTTATTCTCATTAGTTGTCACTAGCTCATTGTTTATTAATTTGAAAGTTGGGCCCTTCAGAGTTCCTTCCGTATTTTGATTTAGTTCCTGTTGGTTGTAATAATATGCTGTGCTTTTTTAATTTTATTTGCAGAATAAAACAGTTTCGGTGTTTGAAACTACAATCCGAATTCTTGGAGGCTTACTCTCTGCTCACCTGATCGCAAGTGATTATAACACGGTATTGCAAATTATAGTTTATTTGTGATTGAACTGTTAAATCATCTTACCTTCATTTCAAAATTTTCTGCTTTTGACTCTTTATTGATAGGAGTTCTCTGTTACTTAATAACAAATAATATAGACAGCGCCCTAGTAAATTTACATTTGCTATTCACAGTAAGAAATTCGATTAGGAATGTCTTAAAGCAGATGACTTAACTGTGAAAAGCGTAACCACTTTTATTTTATGGCAGTAAAATCTAAATGAAAGGGCAAACTGTTCCTTGTTGCCTTTATTGCTATTGTTAAATGGATGGTTCTACTACTTTTTGATGGTATAGCTGAAAAGTCAAACATTTGCAGGGCATGAGAGTTCCTTCATATGATGATGAATTGCTTCATTTGGCAGAGGATTTGGGGCGCAGAATGCTGCCTGCATTTGATACTCCGACAGGTACTTTCCTGCTCATGAAAGACAGAAACTGTTGTCAGATACTGCTGGCACAGAAATCTCTACACTGTTATGTCTTTTCTTCGCTTTAATTTAAGAGCTCTATGTGGGTAACGTCTCATGGAGTCCTTAATTTGCTAATTTTGGCGTGGGTATAGAAAATCTTTGATGAAAATAGTGGTTTCAGGATGGACTCTTTCACTCTGACCAGTTACACAAAAACCATTAGAAATTTATTCTTTCCATCTCTGGTTAGAAACTAAGACTATGGGTGTGGTCAATATGCTCTTTTGATGCAAATGACACTGAACACTTGTATTTAAGTTTATCTTCTATCCAACCATCATTTTTCCCCTTTAAAATCAATGTTGAAATTTCAACACTTTTCTGATATGACTTTCCTATTAAAATATTGATGCAGGGATTCCTTTTGGATCTGTCAATTTAAGGCATGGCGTGGATCAAAATGAAAGCAAGGCAAAGCCTCTTTGTACTCTCTTTACCCTCTTTGATTGTGAGCTTCATTTCATGCATATTTTTGCATTGATCTTTGCCCTATTTTGAGAGCATATTTCTTATGTAAGGAATGGTTTTCTGTTTGTCTTTTTTATGGCTGGGCTTCCTGCTTCACATCTCTATTCAAATACGCTATTATGTTTTTGCCTCCTGAAGACTGATATACTTATCAGGGTGATACTTGCTGTGGTGCATAACATTCTGTACCCCCTAGGCTAGATACACTCGTATTCAAAAAAAGGTCTTCTAAGTCATTATCGAAGTTCAGGGAGAAAAACTTTAGGCAAGATTCATGTTCTTGTTTCACTGCTGAATTTTTCTTTTTCCACTTATGAATTGGTTCAACTAGAAAGAAATAAGTATGGTATTGAACTTTGTGTGTTAAACTCTCATTTCGCTACTCTTTAGAAATCATGTATTTTGAATTCACTTTCCACTGTCATTTATGTGGATTGCAACTTTGACAAAGATATTTTGCAACATTTCCATATATTGAGTGATTTGCATGCAAATTTTTCTTAGTTCTGAAATGTCATATCGCTAGTCTTCTCTTGGTTCAACTAAATCTTTACTTGTTCTCCACTTTTATTATTTTTCTGAAGGAATATCATCTGAATGAAAATCTTTATATCTTCTCGATCAGATCACATCAACAGCTGGGGGTGGTACTTTAACTCTAGAATTTGGAGTGCTGAGCCGCTTAACAAATGATCCCAGTGAGTATTAATGTTGCGTGTTCCTTTATGTTTAAGTAGGTACTCTCAATCTTTGCTTAGCTGTTAGACGAGTGCTTTGTTTGTAGAATTTTCTTTAAGATCAAGAGAAAAACCTTCACCTTGGGTTAAGGAGAATGGAGTCTGATGATATTCCTGCTTAAAACATATTAATGGTGATTTAATTGTTCTTATTATGGCTGAAATGCAGTTTTTGAGCAACTTACGAAGAATGCTGTTCGAGGCATCTGGGCTCGGCGTTCAAGAATTAACCTAGTTGGTGCTCATATAGATGTCTTTACTGGTGAATGGACACAAAAGGTTTTCATTCTCCCCCTACATTTTCTCAATGACTGTCAAGTCAAAAAAAAGATGCAGCTTATTTGTTCTATTTCATATTTGTCATTTTGCTTTCTCCTTTTGTCTTTGGCCTTATTTCAGATACTCCAATAAAAAGAAAATTAAACAATCTTGTCGTACAAAAATGTGAGGACTTTTCTTTGTTTGTTTTTTGGCCTTCTAACTTGTTTGTTTTGGAGAATGACTGGTCTCGGTGTCTAGAATATTTACTTGTCCTCAATGTTTCATTACATTTTCATCTGTTGTCCTTTGATGACTCTGAACACCAACTTTTTTAGGTCTGGTCTTTTTTAGAATTTTGACAGTTCTAAAGAGGAGATTATCAGGAAGTGTAACTCCCTTCGTTCTAGAAAAGCATAATGTCTTAGTTTTCCTCTTGATTCAATCTCAAATTTTCTTAGTATGCTTTCGTGCTATGGACCTTTTAGTTGAATACCTGAATGTATTACGTTTTGCCTGTTTCCCATTGATGTATGAATGACACTGTTACCATCGCGAGAATATTAAATACTCCTTCTGTCCCAAAAAAATAGTCCACATGGGTTTTGAAATTTGTACTAAAAGTAGTACAAATATGAAAATCCAATGTGGACTATTTTTTTGGACAGAGGTAGTAATTAACTGGTTCAAGAATGACATTGTTATGTTGTCTGTCTGTACCTGAACTTCATTTTTCTCAGAAATGATTGCTTTCTGGTGAATTTTCAGGATGCTGGGATAGGAACGAGTATAGACTCTTTCTATGAGTATCTCCTAAAGGTATACTTAGTAAAGCTGTAATGCTTTTACATAACTGCTTCATTGGTGATAAATAATACTTCCATTTTAATTAATAAGCCATTCGTGTTAGTTCCATTGAATCTAAAACTCTCTGACTGATGTAGGCTTACCTACTATTTGGGGATGAAGAGTATGTGTTCATCTTTCAAGAAGCTTATAAGGCTGCAATGCACTATCTCTACAATGACCCCTGGTAAATAATGCTAATTGATTATATGCTTGGTGTGGTTCTTTTTTAAGCTTTGTTGATATCTAATCTTTTCCTTCTTTTTCACGTTTAAAGTCAGAAATGTGTTTGTGACAGTTTTAAACTCTTTTAGGTATGTGGAGGTTAATATGAATTCTGCTGCCCTTGTTTGGCCATTATTCAATAGTTTACAAGCATTCTGGCCAGGCCTTCAGGTAAAAAGTAGTCATGTCCGATTTGTTTTTAAGTTACAGGACACAGTCAGAACTATTTGTTGAAATTAGGGAGTACCATTAATTATGCTATCTTGGAAGGTTCTAGCAGGGGATCTTGAACCGGCTATTCGTACTCATGCTGCCTTCTTTAGTGTTTGGAAAAAATATGGATTCACTCCTGAAGGTTTCAACTTAGCCACACTTAGTGTCCAGGTATGTGAATATTTGTCTCTCTTTAGGGTCTTTGTTTTGGTCACTGACAGCTCGATTTATTCTCTATGTAGTCATCTATAGCGTTGCGCTGGAATGATATTGAACAAATCTAATTTTGGTTTTGCAACTTTTATTGAACTCCAAGTTAAACCAATTTCTGTTGCTCGGCCATCCATTTATGTTTCTCCTCTTCTAATTTGCTTGTCTCCTATTCTAACTTTTTATCACAGCGAGGTCAGAAAAGCTACCCTCTGAGGCCAGAATTAATTGAGAGCACATATTGGTTGTATAAAGCTACTAGGGATCCCAGGTTTACCTTCTTCTTTAAATACATTTGAATTTTTCCTCCTTGCATACGTACTTTGTGTTCAGCAGAAATCTTACTGCTTTGCTGGAATTTCAGAGATCATTTCTTTTGTATGATGTATCATTTCAAATTGGTCTTGCTCTCGTAGAAAGTTTTCCTGTGAAAGACTAGCACTCCCTTGCTCTCTGTTGTGAATATAAATGTGCTTATTTCTTTTGCAAGACCCACAAAATTTCGTACATGCTACTATGCAAGGGAAGTTGGACATGGTATGGTAGACCAATTTTCAAGTAATATTATCTTGTAAATTGAAATATCACTGAAAATGTGTTCTAGATATCTTGATGCTGGAAGGGATATGCTTGCTAGCCTTCAATCTAGTGCTCGATGCACTTGTGGGTATTGTCATATCGCAGATGTTGAAGCCCATTCACAGGAGGATCACATGGAAAGCTTTTTCTTAGCAGAAACGGTAAGTTTTTGATAGTCTGATTATACAGCAGTTTATAGAGATGTCCTATGTTTCTGTTTATGGTCATCAGTATGATCCAAGAGGAGATTGAATATATTCTGTGTACTTGAAATTTTAATTTTGCGACTTCGAAGAAACTATGTGTAGAATTTTTGTGTTTCTGGCTCTTTGCCAACCTATTCATCTTTCAATCTGGCATTCTCACTAGAATATATTTATATACAGGTAAAATACTTGTGGCTTCTTTTCGATTTGGCTGCTGGTCCGGATAACCTCGTTGAGAATGGTCCCTACAAGTATTTTTCATTGAACACAATTCCTTTCGCTTTTGATTAAAGTTTCCGGTTAATTGTTTCAAATGAAAAACATATGCGCAATGAGAAAGATTCAACACATGTACTGCCAATATCCTCTCTTTGAAGTTCCCACTGCCGAAATGTCAACATAATGTATTGAATGTTATGGAACATTATTTATTTTTAACTCTTTTATCTATGTTTGAAGTCTCTTTGATTCCATAAACCAAGCTTGGCCATTCTTCAAATTCAGGTACATTTTCAGCACTGAAGGCCACCTGTTGCCTGCAACTCCACAAATATCCTTAGTGCGTGAACATTGTTTATATTTTGGAGCATATTGTCGAAGTAGTGATCTGAGACTGGAGACCAATATCTCAATAATTGCAAAAGACCCTCGAGAAATGAACTCAAATGGATCTTACTCATGTCCTGGTGCTGCATGTTCATTGTCACGCTTTAACCCTCAAAATTCTCCTCCAATGTCAGGATTGATTAAGGTCTGAGCTAGGATTAACTTGAGTTTTTGGGACACAGTTTTTTCAATGCATTGTGGTTTCTTGCTAAGTGCTTTTCTATCGAAGTATGTTTACTGAAGAAAGAATGGGTAGTAATGTTTATGTGAAGTCTCTTAAACTTGCACATTAAAGCAATCAACTGTTACTGCAGGTTAATTTTGTTCTCTTTTCTTCCACTTCTGGAAATAGGATAGGTACTGCAGATGCTTTCTTTTAACCTAGTGCATGAAGAATGTGTATTCTGCCATAGCCAGGTGGAACACACCTCTCGTGTTTGAACTTTAGGAGTTTCATATCTTTCAACATGTGGTTATGTCGAACATGAAATGCTTAGCTTACAAATGACAGCTTTATTCTATTAACCACTAATAAGTACTGGGAAATACGTTATAATAATTTCTTGTGTAGTTATTACTCGTAGTGGCTTACATGCTGACTTTCTGAAACACTACCTTGTATAGCAGGGTTTCTGTCCTGGTATTACACATGGGCAAAGGTTTGGTATACAGTATGCAGCTTCAGCAGATGAAAATCATCATGATGAGCCTTCAGCACAAAGGTCTGAGAATGTTGTTCAGAGCCATTCAGTTGTAGTGATATCAAACCATAATGCTGAACTCGCTAGTCCCCAGCCAAGTGCACAGATTGATCATGATAAAGATAGTGAACCAAATGACCCAGTATCAGCAGTTCCACCAGAAGAGGAGAGACAACCGGGCGTCTCAAAAGAACTTTAGGATTGCTGAGCGAAAGAGTTCAACTTGACCTCAGATCATCCGAACCCATTTTTTCTTCCGACGGCTCTTTCTTCAGTCAAAAGAGAGTTCAAACTGTATCAGTTCTGGATTGGATTTCTCTTGACCATTTAGCAGGGAAGGGTTTCAGCTCTACAGAAATGCTAACAGGGAGAACAGTTTCATTTTGATCAAGTTGAGGCATCGATTCTAACGGCTAACTTATAGGTTACCTAACTTTCCGAACGAGTAACGGGGCACCATAATGTTTCCGAGAGGAGTATGAATCTACTCATTCTAGGTGCCCTAACATTGCACAGGATTTGCCCTTTTACTGTCTGGAAGCTTTTGTGTAGCTTGCATAGAATCATACATGTACAATAGAATTCTTTGAGGAGAAAAGCGATTCAGGAAAGGCACTTGTAACTTCTTTTTGTAGTATCAGAGAATCACACCAGAACTTCCCAGTGTACTATATATTACAGTTGAAATATTCTTTGCTCTTTAATTAGATAGAGTGAATTTTGCATATTATTTCTAGGATAAACTCCCTTTTATGGAATTTTTTTTTCCATACCATATATTCCATCGTTATTACTGTCTAAACCTTAATTATTGTCCAAACCTTAAAAAAGTCTTTGCCGGCCGCCGCCATATTTAACCTATTTTCACTTCAGAGTTGTGATTATAAGAAGTCGACACCGATTTTTCCTTCTTTTCTCCCTCAAAATCATAGTTCTATCAATCATAGTAGTATCAATTATACCTTTTCCTTATTGGTTTCTTCCATCAATAGCCCGGAAATTAAAAAGAGCCATGGCAAACCTAGCAGAATTGCCGGAAGACATTCTTCATCAAATCCTTCATCATCTTACAGACAAAGAAGCCATTGGTTTTAAGTACATTATCAAAACATATCCGGAATGCCGTGCGGACAAATTATCCCACTACTTTTCTTTATGATTTTAATGCATTTATCATGTTTGTTCTTTTCCTTCGGGGAAAAAGAAACTTCTTAATGATTGAAGTATAATTTATCCCACCATACCATACAAATTAATATCATAAAGGAACCGTTCAAATCAAGATTTAATATAAATTGGAATCAACAATTTCCTAGAGGAGTTTCTAAATTACACTCTGATACAAATTATTTTGTTTTGTTAATATAAATTTGGAAGAAATTATTTTTCAGGTGCATGAGATTGCTTTTTTATTTTTTATTTTTATTTTTTTCTGGGGTGCGAGACTATTTTTCTATGTTTAAAAAACTGGCAAAAAATATAATGAAGTCTCTATTAGTTTTACTTTACTTTTATATGGCAGTGTCTTTTGGGTTAAAATCTTAAATATATTCAGAGGCGATTTTCAATATCTATTTCAATATTTTTTCATGTAGAATTGGAACATATTTTTTTGAAAAAGAAAACTTGAATGGAAATATTGGCATATCACATTTAAGGGGGGAAAAAAGCAACTTCATTTTTATTATCAGACGATTTGAACACAAAAAAACATGATGAGCTTGTTGTAATTGGTAGGCCAATAAATGTTAATTAGCCTGGCCGAATAAGTTGCATTACCCTAATGTTTAAACAATTCCAGGTGTATTAATTTGTTTTAAGATCATTTCACCAGGTTTACATTCAATTTTATACATTTTCTTTTTATGGTTCAGGTTACAAAGCAAGCATTATCACTAAGATGAAAGAATGAAACTGGTTCCTGAATCTACCAGCATGACTCGGATTGCCTCAAATACGTTTTTCTTTTTTTCTTTTTTTAAGTAAAAAAATTGCTAACAAGCTTCCCATGGGTAATGAGTGACCAGTTAGTATATATGGTCTGATCTTCTTCAATTTACACAATAATGGGTTGTTCTCCTTCCATCTCAGATATCACAATGAGAGAATCATTCAATCCAAGAGACAAGGGCTCTGATTTTGGTATTGGGTTAATAACCTGCAATAGAGATGGCATTAGAACAAGGTAAAACGTGGAAATTGGCAAAAATGGAAAGGTGGTAAGACGTCCCAAAATTATTGTTCAGTTTGGATTTCCAAACTGAACAATAATTTTGGGACGGAGAAAGTAAATAAATATAGAGAGAGATAGCCTACTGTTTTGTAATTTTTCACATAGCCAATGGCAACTTCTCTCCTCAAGTTTGCTCTTTCAGCAAGCTCTGAAAACGAAGGGCTCTCACCGCTTTGCATGTAAAGACCAATATCCTGAAGAATAAGGCAAATCATTTTAAGTCTCTTAGAATCCTCTTTGGTGTTGTACTACAAACTTAAGGCTATGAAGCTTGGAAAATCGGGTAGTACATTCCCGTCGAAAAACTTCGTGGTTTTTTAACATATGACATAAGATGACTTCAAAGAATACCAACTTTCCATTGCTAAGGATTACCTTCACATAAATTTCATCTCCCTCCGCGTTGAGGATGTCTTTCCAAACCTCATTCAATTCACAGTTTTCTGCCACTGCAAGATGCAAATGTTGTAATCATTAGTTTCCTTATACTTAAAGAATCCATGTAAAGGAAGAAATATTCTTTGAACGCCAGGCTGAAAAGTTTTTTCACCCTGTGCTGTCACAAGGCTCATCACTTCTTCTGCTGCGATATAAGTAAGCGATGGCTTGATTCTGCTAATCTGCACTGTCAGAAGATTCGATGAGAAATGGCACAATAAATAATGTTCACAATATCTTCAGGAAAGCAAAGGACACATTTACCTGTTTCCCCAATTTTGAGTCAACAATTTCCGCAACTAGATTATGTACCTGAAGTTTACTCATCAATTAGTTCTCAAGACAAAGAGATGAGAAGCAAGGTGTAGGCAATTCCATGAAGAAAGACACTGAAAAGATGAGTTCATTTTTCTGATATATGAAATCTTTTCAGGTATGCAACAGATGGTTTGTAATTTTTCGAAGATATTTGGCATAGTAAGTTTTTTTTTTTTTTTTTTTTTTTGAGTGAGTTATTCAAGTTCACCAATTTGGAATGAACTTTAACTGTTCAAGATCATAACAACTCTACTAATCAGTAAGAAACTATAATTATTGAGATTTGAAATCTGGAAATCCCTAAAGGAGTTCGAGGGTGAGACCATACATTGACCCCAAGACTGTTACAAAGAGACTCAGCAAGAAGTAGAGAATATGCCGAATGCTTGTCTGCCTTCGATGGATCTGAACCAAAATGAAGAAATACTTAGATACCATATCAACCATCCGAACAATTAAGATTATCACTATAAATTACCTCCAAGTAGCCACTCTCTATCTGATATAACAACTATGGAAAAGGGAACGTGCTCATTTTTCTTAGACGATTTCTGAATGTTTCTGATGGTGTCTTTTAAAGTTTCATAGTCCATTGGGTTGCCAATCTGATCAACAGACAAACAGGGGTTAAAACACAGGAAGATGCTATGCATCGAGGAAATGGCAAAATGTCATTTTTAATATTTTGATACGTATTTACATTAACAGAAGCGATACCCTGTGAGACACTTGGACGTTCTTCAGCTTTCCTTGACCTGCGATTTTGTTAGCCCTTTCTCTGTCATCCATTGGCACATCTGACAGGATTTCCTGTATTTTTTTAATTTTTTTTATTTTTTATGAAAAGGCATTATTACCAGATTTCATGGCCCATACGATTTAATGAAATTTTAATGTTTAAAAAATCAGCAGGAAATTTGTTCCAAAACAAAATCAGAAGGAAATAGATCAGTGGCTTAAAACAATAGAGATTATAGGACATCTAGCTAGGAAATAGCAAATACTCTGCATGATAGACATCAATTCGCATGCAACCAGGCCTGAGAATGTATAATTTCATTGCGGAACATACCAATAAACTTCCAGGCCCGAGATAGTTATCATATTCTTTAATCATTTCAACCACATCAGGGCGCCATCCAAGCATCAAAATGTGCTCTTTAGGACCGGGATAAGGGTCAGATGCCTGCAAAAAAATAAACAACATTCAGCCTGGAGGAATTTACACACGTTAACTAGACCATTACTTTTACATGATGAAATACCTTTGAGACAGATTTTGTCCGTTTGACAATTTTCTCTAGCCTAGCTCTTGTAATTTCAAATGCGTCACTACGTAGTAGGCCATCCTTCTTAAGAGTTTGAGGATCATGGAAGGAAGTCCCATCTTCAGGCAAACTTGAGATTGCAAGGTTGGGTTTCTTTTTTCCAAGTACAGGTCCAATAAACAACACCTGACAGTTGACAGCATAAAACTTTTGAGGGTGATAAAACGCTTACAAATACAAACACCATAATGATAATCCTATACCTAGTCTTTTTCTTCCTGGTGAAAAGGAAGTGTATTGTTTGTGTAAATCTAATATTTTAATGACTAGAGCAGCCATTTTTTAACTTCTTTAATTTTCAAGAGGGCCATTGTCTGACTCTATTCAAGAGAAAACTGCCAAAGTTTTGAAAAAGCATGTAAAATGTGAAATATCTATAGCATTTACTGGGGTAGACTCTGTAAAGTTCTATGAAATATGATCCCAGATTGCAGAACAAAAGTAATCTCCACTTTCCCAACCACTGCCACCACTGCATCAAAAAGGAAAAGTAAGAAAAATAAAGAAGAGTCCACCTACTTTGTCCGTTTGACGAATAATTTCATCATCCTTTGGGTGGAAATATATCTTCCCATCCCGATAAAGGCCACAAACAATAGCCTGGAGAAACAGGAAAAAATGAGACTAATTATCTAATGTTACCAAAATATACAGGAATGCAGAAATAAAAAGAACCTTTACCTCCTGAAATCCACATCTCAATTGCCTGTACTTCAAACCAACCAAATCCAAAAAGAAGCAAAGGTTAAACACATTTTCTGCAACACATAAGACAATCGTACAAAGCTATAAAAATCTAATCAATATGGAACTATAACATGCATATGTAATTGATTAGCATTACTTCTATAATTAAGTAGATGTCGGTATATCTTTATAAGTCCTTTTTGCCGAGAGCATTGAACAAATAGTTTGGAAGCAACATTTTCAACAGGTGCTACTTTCAACCCGGAAATTGATTTTAAAAGATCACAAGTATTGGGGCTTGACACCTGCATTCAATGAGCAATATAATTAAAACCGTCAGGCAGAAAATCTGGAATGAAACACTCGGAACCCATTATTAGAAACAGACCTCAACAACAGTTGGCACAGAGGCCATCTCCTTAAGTGGTTGAAGAGCAAGTACAGAAAGAAATGCATCTGTATCAACTTCATACCTACAAAATCCAGGTCGGGACGTCGGTGAAGAAGTGATGAAGAAAAAGGGAACACAGTCTCGTCATCTAACTTGACCCTACATATATGAAATTCAGGATAGCACAAAAATAACATAGCAAAAAGATAAAATGGAAGAAATGTCACTAATTAATAGTTTGATCAGATAGCAATGTTTTGATTTTACTTTGGACCACAAGCGCATATACAAAAACCCCTTGGTGTATACCGATCTTCCTAACCATCCAGGAATTTGTGTTCGACCAAACATTATGTCACGAGATCTCTAACTATGGGTAGAGGTAGCCTTTTAGCAATTTCACGTCATCTAACAAACTAACTAGCAAACATTCAAAAAAAGAAGAACTATTTACTTTAGCTTATCTAACCAGAAGAGGATTGACAAGCAAAGGACGGGATGCGGAAAAAGATCTCCATTAGCCGCTTGTACAGAAAGTTCTTACCTATCTCCCTTAGTGGGCAATATAATAATGGCCCTTGCTTTGTTTGCTGCAGCTCTTTCAAATGATTTTGTCATGCTTAGGATACAACTGTAGAAACACAAGGTTCAAATCAGGTTTTAGGATTTGATGATGAAAATCCAAGAAAGTCATACACACAGGAAGATCCTAGCGAATACAAAAATAATCTTCTATGTCATTTTTCCTCAACACTAGTAAGATTCCAATTTTCATACAGATTGGATTCATATCTTTAACACTCAAAACAATCCTAACTCCAAAATCAAATGTTTTCTTATGCATGGAAATTACCCATTTACAAAATAAATAAAAAAAATACAAAAAAAGAAGAATGTACTATGTGGAACAAACATCAATATGACTGAGATCTTTCAAAGGAACGTACCTCTTTGAAAGAACATCAATATGACTGAGATCTTTGGCAATGTTCTCAGCTATCTTGTCTATTTGCTTTCTCGGGAGATCAGATAAGAGAAGAATTCTCTGCCTCCTATGAACATGTACCTATAGAATATTAGGTGCAGCACCAGAGTAGCACACAAGTCAGGAAGAAAATCATGAAGCATAAAGCCAATACCTGGAAGTTGCAGTGCCTAAGCGAACAGCGAACTCGTGATACTTGTTTAACTGCTTGAGTATGAAAGTCAGATGACTATTGATGCCACAAATAATTATATGATCATTCTCCAAAACTTGCATTTGAAAGCCCTCTCTCACCCTTTGCATGTTATTCTGTAAAAAAGGCTTCTAAGGAAATGCCCTGCAGAGAATGAAGTTACAGAAATTCCAACATCTCACCATTGCTTACCCTAAATTGCTCTGTCATTGTGCTCAACAGGCGAGAGTAGAACAGAATACCCCATATTGCAAGAATAAATCCTATCACTCGTTCGATTCGTGTTCTTTGCTACAATTAAGAAAAACTTAAATTAGAAAAACATCAATTGGTATCACATGTGAAGGAATCAGCTGCTACAAACAAGGAATCATATGAGACAAATAAATCCTACTTTCAGATGAGTGGATGACGAACAAAGACATGCCCAGGCCTCCCAAAAGCATTCCTCAAGGGATTGTTCATTACCTCTGCATATGTCCACAGTATGGCAAATAACATGAGAATTAAATCTGGGAGGGGATGTTGATAACATTCCAAATGAACGTTCGAATGAAGAACAATTGGGAGGATCTTGACCGGACTGAGTTGGGAATATACTGGGTATGTACTTGTTGTACTTTTGGGAGCTTCAGGAAAAGGGACTAAACTTGATACTTTATCAATTAAGTTCAATCACATTTACCTACTACAGGTCAGCTTTTCAGAGGTACTTCATTTTATATTAACTCTGATCAAAAGTTTGAAATCATGGCTACTAGTTCTCTTGAACATGTTGTATTAGGTTCAATAGTGTATGAGTTCTCAATCTATCTGCAGTATTTCAGAACTAACCTAAAACCAATTGTACATTGCTATGCAAGCTGCTAACTCACTAGTGTGGACTATATTCCCACCCTCCTAGATTTTAAATGGATATATATTAATGGAAGGCATAAAAATTATATCTATGGCAGAATTCAAACTTGTACCTTAGATTTCGATTGCTGTATTTAATTCTAGCCCGATTGCATAATAGCACATGAATAAAAATGTAAGCTATCAATGCAGAATAGATTTCTTTTTAAGGGAAATAAAACATTGTACCTTAACTTGTGGAATAGGAAACCACCAATGATGACAAATGACATACACGACAAAAGGAGCACGACGAAAAATCTGCACAAGTCCAGAACAGTTCCCCATGTCATGTAAGTATTAAGATGACCGTGAAGGAAAACATGGGTACACTTGATCATTCATCTAACACAAACACGAAATTGCTGCTAACTACATTTAAAAAAAAAAAACAAAAAAAACTCCACTTCAGTGGACCCCACTTAAATGTGGGTAGAACCCCCTTACGAACTGGTGGGAATTGAACCCAAGTCTACTCCCCGTAAGTACAACATCCTAACCACTAAATTGTTATTCAATTCCCTTGGTGCTAACTACATCTTATCAGCTAGAAATAACAGAATGATAGCATCAGATAGTTTTACTTGGAGACTTAATGTACGGAAAGAAACCAGCCACAGCTTATTGCCTTCGAAGAGAAAATCCCAAATAATTTAAACAACAGATTTCTGATTCTTGAGAATTATTGTTAGATCATGAATGGTGTTACTGTTTCCTGATAACTTGGCACCAGATCGTATAAGTTTTATTTCCTAGAGCACAATTTAACAATTTACTTCATTTATCAATTACGGGAAAGGACAATTTGCTACTGCCTTACAGAAAATAAGCTACGGGACCCATATGCTAGAAATTTACCATCGGAAGAAGCCGCTAATGAGCTCTGAAAATTTTATTGACAAACATGAAAAGTGAGAACATAATACTTACGCGGCAACATTTCTCTCAAGTTGCAAGTTGAACAAATAAATTAACCTTGAAAAGCTCCATCTGATATCCCCCAATGCTGGTAGTGAAACGTCCAATTGGAGAGGAGTAGGTTTATTCACAGAATTTGATATACAAGCAAAAGGCAAACTCCTAACAGGGAATGTACAAGTCACACGGAAGAGAAATTCTCGTAGTGCATCCAGCATTGCATTGGTGAAGAAGCATTGTACCAATCTAACTAGGAAATAAGATGTTGCGAATGTTATCATGAGTTTAGCCGGTTCTCCCTGCACAAACTGTAATAAGAACCAACCATTAGGAACTACCAGCAGTTGATATTGTAATTTGCAGATAATAAGCCGTACTTGCTCCTGCTGTAAAAGGTCAACTAGCAACAATTAGATTACAGCTTTTACATCAAACTATTCAAACTCAGGTTGCATTAGGCTGACCTAGATCTACAAGCAAAATGGTTCAAGCTCAGTAATGAATATGAATTTATCCCTAATGAATAAGTTTAGGTTCATGCTAATTTTAACCACAAATTCAGTTGACATAGCCATGATAAATAGTGAGAAGTAACAGATTATACAAATTTGGGAAAGATTGATCTTTATTTAATTCTGGGAAGTCTCATGCACCTGGAAAATACTATGTACCATCATCTTTGGCAATCTACCATTGGACTTATCAGATACATTCTTATTTACTGAAATGTTGGGCTCCAACGGCTTCATCTGACAATTGATCTTCCATCTCCCTAACAAAAATCATAATAATGTAGGTTAAATGACACTGGTGATCAAAATAACAGCAGTAAAGAAACACACACTAATCTAACAGTGAAGTTTCCGAATAACGGGAAGCTTTAAAGTCCAGGAACCACACAACAAGGGCTTCTGCGTAGTTGCCAGATCTTCCATCAAATTCTGGATTTGATTCAACTTATAATTGCCAAACTTCTGGCTGGAACCAGGTACAAACAATCACATACTACTCTAAAGTGTTTATATCAAAGAGCAGAATATCTTATCACAAAACCCATTACAATTTTCAATCATGTATTGGTCAGAATGACAAGTATTCCTCAACATCAATGACAAGAATCTAAACTAACCTTTGTTCCTATGTAACAAATCACTGGGCCCGTAATCTGAATGAAAGTTATACCTGCAGGCATTAAGCATCAACTTTTACAAGCTATTCCTTAACAGAATCATCCAAATAATGAGGATGAAAGAAGAAGGCAGTTCAGTCGGGAAACCAGTCAAAGCCATTAATGTCTAAATGAAGCCCTGCCACATTGTTTTCCCGTTTTCAGCAACTGCTACCAATTTTCCAGACTACGACACAAAAATAAGCACATTTGAAAGTAAAACTACACTGCCACAATGGCAAACCAGAAGCATCCGATACAAATAGATTTCATCAAACTTTATGCCAAAATATAGAGGCTTTTGCTTTTTATGTCTTAATCAAGAAATAAAACCCATTTTTTGATCCATGAAACTGCTAAAAAATAATCTAAATTCAAAAGTCAGATCACTATAATGCCCATTCATCGGTCCTTGTCACTTGATACCAATCTCATGGGTACCTGCTGATGCTAATGATGAATGTGCAACATTCCATTTCTTGTAACCATGCGGAAATCCTGAGCACAATCTCATTAAAGTCAAGGGAAACCCAGGTGGCCAAATTGTTTCTTCTTATTATGAACAAGGTGGCGGTCATATTGACAGAACCCTGTTCTATAACTTCATGAATAACACAACCAGCAACTGAAACTTTTATCTACATTGACCGTTTATACCTCATATACCCAGTTTGATCATTTGTCAGTTATGAATCTATTCTGCAGTATCAACTATCAAGCACTAAGAAGACTTTCACTTCTTACATTCTCAAATTCCCAAATGCTCAATAGAATAAGCATGAATGCAATTTGAAAAACAAAATGCATAAATTCAATTACAACCCAGAAGCTTGATTGAAACATTGAATACTGAAAGAATACACATTGAAAAAGGTTTCACCTCCTGAATGGAGAAATCCTATTGAGTCTCTGTATTGGTGTAAAAACGCATGGTCTGGAGCTATACAACTGAAGCTGAAGCATCCCTTTGTTCGTTTGACTACAAAGCTACAAACTTTCTGAAAAAAAGAAAACCCCCCAATCAATTGAAAACAGAAAAAGATACGTTCTTTATAAATTCAGAAAGATGGGATTGCAAAGTGAAGGAGCTCAGAAAGTGTTGACCCTTTTAAAAAGTATACAAGAAGAAATGCTGAAACCTGAATTATTCTGATATTTTAATGTTGAAATTGACTCAAGAAACAACAAAAGGAAAAAAAAATAAACAATGGAGAAAAGGTCACTTGTGTAATTAAACTATCAAGCTCGAATATACCCAGAAAATTGACCAACCAATTAGAAATGTGCGTTCTTTCGAATGTGGTGTGAAGATTGCCAGCCGCCCATCTCCAAAAGATGATGAAGAAAGCAGCAAAATTTATATATCTCCTTAGTTTTCAATTGCTACAAGAAAAGGGCTGTGAAAAAGAAGGGAAAAAAAAAAAAGAAAAAAAAAGCCGTCATTGTCAATTTTGCTTCATCGGGCTGTCAGGAAATGGCAGTATATTGTTTTCGTACGTTGGAGTTTTGGAAGTGATCATTGTACAAATATCATTTTTGGGTAATGTGCAACCTTAGATTTACTAGTCCGTACTCGCACCATTTCATCTCATAATTTTCATTCAAGAAAAAAATATTACTTTCTTATAATACTTTTTTAGTTAAATATTACTCCCTTCATTCCAAAATAGCATAATGAAACTCTTAAATAGCGTAATGAAATTACTTGAATATTCTCAACCAACCCCATTAAAAAAATATTTACCAATAGGATTAATTATTTTGAGGGTAATTTTGGAAACTTTGGACAAAAGGAGCATTGAAATGTGAGAACGACAATTATTTTGAAATTTCTCTATTTTACGAAAACGACATTTATTTTGGAACGGAGAAAATATGTAACAAGTTTTTAGAATCTCACTGAAGTAGTGTAGTTTTTCGGCACTTGATAGATACTATTATTTTCCGGTTCCAAAATAGTAAAAGTTTTGTATAACAAACGAGGAATAATACAACTGAAAACTATAGAATCCGAAAGAAGGATGGATGAGTTTATACCATAAGGAATGGAGAAATTTGGTTGGCAAAATCATCATTACCATGAGGAATTTAAGGTGTCTTTTGTTCAATTCCATTCCCAATCAGCCAATCTCCATCAAAATAGTGGTTGCTTCACTTACTTCCCACTTTCTCAAAGAGCAACTCAATGTGGTGGAGGTGGACTAATATATGTGAACAAAAAGTGTTGAAATCTACTCCAAACTTACGTGCTATTTAGGGTTGTTGGAAAATATAGAATGGACCCTCTACTCTAGCAAGGTTTGTTTCTGTTCCATTTTGTTTCATTCACAATTAAGAATTTTTGCTTAATTTTAAGCACGTGGTCCACGGGTTTCAACTTTCAAGATTTCAATGGCTGTGGCATTCAGATTGAAAGTAGTGGTTCTTATGTGAATAGTACAAAGAGAAGTGTTTTTTTTTTTTTTTTTGTTGCTATATACAAAGATGTGTTACACATTCTTTGTACATTATTGGCAAACAAACAAATTTTGGTTTAGGCAGTATGAGAAATACATGGAATGAAACAAAAGAATTGTCACAACTATAACATGTGCTTATAGCATTAGCACCCCACATAGTTTATTAATGAATTTTCATACTATTCCTCATTCCAATTCGAATAGAAAGGTTTTCTTCAATTATTAAGAAGTAAAACTCCACAATAGTTCTAATTAGTCCTCCTTTTTGTAATATTCCGTACCCATGTCCCAAGTCCCAACAATTTTTTTTTCAAAAAATAAAAAATAAAAAATTATTTGCTGTTTTTGAATAATCCCAAATTGAACCAAGCAAGCCCCTTTTGAAGGACAATTCTCCTTGACAGAGTTCTCATTTGGTCTATATTGATTGACCTCCAAACACACAGGTGACAGAAATGTAACTTGGGTTAGGTGACTTAGGTCATTAGGTACCAAGAGTGGGCTAAAAAAACAAGGGGAACGGCCTATAGGATGAGTGGCTCAACAATGAGTTCTCAGGGTATATAAAAAGCATCCCAAGAAAACAGAAACTTCTGAGTTCTGAAATGGTGTTTTACTGATGATGGCATCGAGATCTGCTTAGAATTGCAGCTTAGAATTGCAGCCCAGTAACTGGAAAGTATCCGAATAAAGAAACAAGAACCCTTGGGAAAGGGTAGTAATCTCGCTGTTGTCGGAGACAAATAGGAACACAAGGTGTCATGCTCACTACCAGCGTCTCATATCAAGAAGTAAAGAGCAACGAAGCAAGGGAGTTTCATCAATCAGGTACTACTACTACTAAGCATATTCCAATTAATCTTACAATAGGTTATAATTACAAGTAGCCGATCATTTTCACGGCTCCGACGCCCACTATCCACAAACTACAAAGAGGATCATCCCCCACAATCCCACACACCTAAAAAGGGGGGAATAAATATTTGAACTTTTATGACTTTTTGGTACATAATCCCTCCATTAAGCAATTTAATACAGACCTAATACCACAACTGGTCAAGCTTTATGAGGGTATGACATCATTTCTTATCCAATAGAGCTCCAGGGCAAAATAGACAGACCAAAAGAAGGCAGTAACATATATATGGCATCTGACAAAGAATGCATTGCCATGGACCGGAAGAGACTAATGGTAGATTGAAAACGACATAATGGGTTGAAATAGGGAGCTCTAAAGATAACTTTAAGAAACTAGCCTTCATGAAGGGGCTGTCGGTTCGGCCTTCACAAGTGAAGGGTCATCTGATTGGAGCGTAGGATATATTAGTGCTGCAAGTGACACTGGCATGATGCAAAGTGACTTTGACTGAAGAAACTGCATTGCGGCACCAACATCTTCTTCCATAAGCTTAACTACTTCTCTTTCAGTTTCTTCATTGGACCATTTCTCCCAAACTTGCTGGTTGTCCTACAGGTGGAGAACCAAATTTAGGTTAGAAAAAAACATTAAAACTTGGGAAATGTGCACCTATCATGAGCTCAACGGTCATCCATCAAAAAAAAAAATAAAAATTATCCCTAGGAAATACCTCAACAGGATGCAGCGGAATATCAGCAACAAGCTGTGCCACTGCACCAGCCCCCCCAAGCCTACTCATGCTTAATACCTGCTCAAGAAAATCATTGATGAAGAAATAAAGTCAGCATAACAAATAAACTAGTGTGTCCAGAAAACTCTATCAGGTTTACACAAACAGATGACACCGGAATCAAATTTCAAATCTTGCACAAACAATATGACCTATTCCATTAAATCCTCTCAGTTACCCTGGATTTCCACTAACCACGTCTTGAAAGTTAAAAGTAACTATATTTTATACTTCTCTGTCCACAAAATGATGGTACCATTATATCAAATGCTTAGCTCACATAAATGAACTAACTTTCTTCACTCATATTCTGATTGAACTAACTTTCTGAGACAAAAATGACAAACATTTAAGCATAGTAACAGAGACGATAAGTCAAAGAACGAGCTATTTTAAATGATTGCATAACTGACTCGATCCCACCTTAACTTGAAGCCTTAAGAATTTCACATAATCTAGGATCTCATCAAGCATCGCAGCTCTATCTGTCTGCCAAGAAACAACAGAAAAAGAAAATTAAATTTGACAGAGTATACCATATTGAATAGTACCAAACACAATAGCGAGAGTAGCCATGTCTAGAAGTATCTAACAGAATAGAATAGAAGATTCTTCTTGCATACCTTGTTACAGCTAGGAACAAGTTCTTGCAAAGCCTTTATTCTCTCGGATATCCTTTCTCTGCGTAACTGAATGCAAATGTATGCGCTTCAGCAGAGTAAAACTACTTAATTCAAAAGATACTTCACATGACTTAACAATATAAGTTTCATTACCCGCTCAGCTATACTATGGGGATCAGTTGCTTGCCCCCTCCGAGCACGAACCCTTGGCCTAATGCTAGGTGGGTGTGGCACGGTCACAGCAGTGCTCTGTGTTGGTTGGCCTTGAAAAGCCTGCAAATGAGCTTCAAAATTTGTTAACTCTTGTCCAGTGTAGTGGTGGGAACACTGAAGTCACACCACTTATCTTGACAGAAAAAGATTTCAATGTCAGAGTTAACTTTAAACCATCTGATGCTTACACACTTCATTTCAAGCAATCAACACAAAAACATTTCTCAACTGCAAACTATGGAACGCTAAGACACCAAAAAACTCTTTTAATTTAAACCATCCAAAGCAATTTAACTCAATTCCTGACACGTGAAAGTTTCCTCTATGTGAGCTATCAGTAGCTCACTGAGTTCATAACACAGTGTTGGCTTTAAATGATGAGCAAAAAAAGGCCCATAATGCCTTAGAGTTTACTGAATTCAAATTTATGAAGTCAGTATATAAAGGTCTTGATCATACACTACACCCATGAAAAATTAATAAAACAAAAGCTTAAATGCCAAATAACACGGTTATACCACTGAGGTAAGAGACTTCTAAAGCCTCCAATTCCAAAAGGGTGGGAAGCAATTTAGTCCTAAACAACTCTGACCCTTAAATGAAATATTAAAAAGAAGTACTTCGTATAACAAACAAGTTGATATCTTGATACACCAGCATCCAGAGAAAACTAAAAGTGTCTAAGACAAGCTCTAAGTGGAAATGAAAATGAGGAAAATAACACAGAAAGTTGTACGACCTGTTGAACCGGAGGAGCGGTATGCCGAATTCCATGAGGCTGTAACTGTTCAAAGCCAGGATACAGGTTGCCCATATTCAACGATTCTCTTTCCTACAATCAACAATACAAAAAATCAAATAAAAGGGTTCCGAAGTTACTCTACTGGTCACTGAATTTCACAGCAAAACCATCAAAAGTTCACTTTTTTCACCGAATTAACTGCAAAACCCTAATCTTCGATGACACGATAAGAGCTAGAAAACGTAATTATAAGCTTACAGGCTTAACGCCAAAAGCTCCGGTATCACTCACGTCGTCACGGCCGCTATCCAAGCTCAATCCCAAGGGAAACAGCTGCGGATGATGATGTAAACCACCGCCAGCAACGGAGCTAAGCTGAGAGACAGCTGAGGTGAGTGAAGCGGTGTCCGATGAGCTGCCGACGTCATTTACCGGCAAGCCGGAATAAGAAGGGATTTGGAGAATTTGCTCGAGGAAGTCATCGGTGGTGTATCCTTCGTGAGGTGGTTGGTTGTTCGCAGCCATGGATGAAGGCTCGCGTCGGAGAACGACGGAGAATTTTCCGGCGAGAGTTGCCGGAGAAAGAGAGAGAGAGAGGGAGAGAAATGAGGGGAAAATTAAAAAAGGAGGCGTCTTTGCAGGGTATGTTTGTCAGCTTGTTGTTTGTTGTGTGTTTATTAGTGCGTTTGGAAAGTGTGAGGACTTTTTGGTAATGTTGAAAAAAAAAAACCCCACCGACTCGGACCGGATTGGGTCGGATTGACTTCTAAACCGGCTGTCATTATTGCAACAAGGAAAAACACACACAACTTGTTGTCATCCCCAAAAAGGAGAGGATAAAAAATTATACTCCCTCCGTCCCATAATTATTGTCCACTTTAACAAAAAAAATTTGTCCCAAAATTATTGTCCGATTTGACTTTTTATGGAATGAGTTACACATTTGCCCTTTAATCTAGTAATTGGAAACCTTTTTATCCACACACAACAACACACATCAGAAGTGAACACAATTCAATAGCAGCAAAATTAGCCTTTACTCCGACTGTGAACACAATTCAATAGCTTCAAAACTAGCCCATACTCCGACGGCTCAAAACGACGGTGAGGATGAGGTAGACTGTGCTAGAACAGTAAAGAATGTCTGAGCTATAAATGAATTCTTCAAACCGAAATTTTCTCTAGCTGTCGGATATTAGAGATTAATTATGCTACCTTGTAATCACTCTATGTACTCTAGTCTCGGTTATGGGGCTTTGATGTTCTAGCCCTTTAATCTAGTGATGGACTGTTCTAATTCGCTAATGAATTATTCTTTACTGTATAAGCTTTGGTAAGGAACCCACAGTTTCAATCGATAATGGACTTATGGGGGAGTTTGGAGATAATTGGAATTGGAGAAGGCATCATTCATTGGGAAATTGAAACTGTGGGGGAGGAGAATTTCACTGGTTTTTGCGTTGCCTGGTGAGGAGTATGTGGCCTTTTCTTGATCAATAGGGAACGGCAGCATTTGACTGCTGAAGAGGATGAAAAAATGGAGACTTGGCTTTGGGTATTATTCGGTAGGGGTATATCCGAAAGTTTCAGACAAAATATAATTAAGTTTAACTAAAAATAAATTCTTTCATCTTGATTAAAGTGGATAATAATTATGGGACGGAAGGAGTACTAATAATACTCATTCCGTCTTAAAATCATTGTTCGTGATTTGAAATTTTAATGAAAGTGATTTCTTAATATTAGGGGAAAAAAATGAAAGAAAGAAGAAAGATGGAATATTAGTTTATTTAATCTTTAGATACATATATATACATATAATTGCAATTGAAATAAAATTGAGGGTTATGGGCTTTTAGTGGGGATCTAGACTACTAACTAGCCCACTAAGTTAGGCCCAAAGATGACATTTTGGGGCAGCCGATTAGCCATTTCAGCCTAAGTGGGATTATATGTGTTTTGCAAAATAATACTACTATTATAACCTTCTTGATCAGGACAAATGCAGCACGAAAACAGCAATGTAACACTGGAGATTACAGAATTTACAGTCCTAACAAACCAAAAAACAAAGAGCATATATGTAGTTTATGCGTCTCGAAGTGTAATCGATCTCGGTCTGAGTGGTAAAGGTTTTAACGAAGATAGAGATCGGAAAAGGCGTAAGGTCTAAGATGTATCTCAAAGAGTGTGCGAGTGTGTGAGACTGTTAGCTCAATTCATCTTGCTGTCACTGGGGGCCTTGGAGATAGTCCTTCTTCAGAAAGATCAGACAGAACATCATCACTCTTGCATAATGCATACACAATGTCCACCATGCTAGGCCTTTTCCCGGGATCTCGGTTCACACAGGCAATGGCAACAGTCATCACATTCAAAACACTTTCCATGGAGACAGTCTCCCCAAGTATATCCTCATCCATCCATTCCCTCAGTTTGTTCACCTTCTTGTCTTCTGTTCCCTCCAAAATTCCACCGACTTTAGCCCACAAAACCTTCCCTTCTTCATCGATCGCCTCTTTACCCGTTATGAGCTCAAGCAACACTACCCCGAAAGAGAAAACATCCATTTTAGTGGAAACCACCCCATCAGTGAGATATTCAGGAGCAATGTAGCCTTGAGTTCCGACAATGTGCATTGTGATGGCATTGCAGCCTGTTTTTGCCAACCCGAAATTCGCAATCTTGGCTCTCATATTTGAGTCCAGTAGAATGTTGCTGCTTTTGATATCTTTGTGAACAACCTGTGGTCTTGTGTGTTCGTGTATATATTGCAGACCATTCGCAACATCAATTGCGATTCGCAGCCTGGATTTCCAGCTTAGCTTTCCCTTTTTCTCACCATGCAGCCATGTATTAAGAGAACCATTTTCGACATATTCGTATACCAGGTAACAATTTGCTTCTTCTGCATCAATGCAAAAGCCCTCTAGCTTCACTAAATTACCATGGTTCACCTGCAATAAATGCAATCAAGAATCTTTAACTGCTCTACACTTCTATATAAATTTCAAGGAACCCTTCAAAGTTTAAAGCTCTAAACCTACTAAAAGTCTAACACTGTACCAAATTTCACAATACAAGGTATGTGACTTAATTAATAAAGAATGGACCTCTGTCCAGGAAGACTGCCTTGTTGACTAGGTTTGAACTGTTCAGCTTTGGATTCCAAGGAGAGACTACATCTGTTGTTACTTAGCACTTAGCAGAAAGTAGTAGGTAGGTGATAATTTAATATGCAAATTAATATAATCCAGCATTGACCTGGAGGAGAACTTCTTTTGTAGAATAATTCAACAAAGAAGCATCCTCTAGGCATTCTTTAATTGACTTTAGGATGGCTTTCAGACCTGATTATTTCTATTATTTATTTGGCATGATAGAGGAAAGATGCTTTGAGCCTTTGATAAAAGAAAAAGGAATCTTAGATGCTTTTGTATTGCTTGTTTGTATTAGTCTAATTTTCTAAATTAAAAGCTGATATATGCATGAATATGCAAATTTTTTGGTGCATTATGCATTTATGCTAATGACAGCACTGAATATTAAAAATGATGGATCTTGAAAAGACAAACTGATCTGAATTGCAGAATGTTGGCCTGTGTGTCTAAAATTCTGACCATTTATCCAGAAAGATTATCAAAGTTCAAGATCTTTATATCCTTTGATTTAAGACAGGCAAATTAAAACTACTGAATGGAAAATAAAACTGCATCAAGGGAAGTAAATATTGTGTACCTTCTGTAAGATCTTGAGTTCTTCATAGGCATTCCAGTTCATCTTCTTGATGGCATAAACTTCCCCATCAATGGTACCTTTATAAACTGAACCTTGAATCAACAAATTCTCATCAAAATCAGCTGTTGCTTCCCTCAATTCCTCAATATCAAACACTTTATACTTGTCTAAGTAGTCTGCAACATCAGCCAATAAACTCACCCCTGCATCTTTCAACAATGCCCTTTCCCCTTTATCATACTGCCTTTTCTCAACATCTTTCATTCCTGCTAGTTTTTTCTTCAGTGATCTCTCCCTCTTAAGACATAAACCAAGGACTAATATCAACAAAATCCCACAAATCCCAAGCCCAATTCCTAGTCCTATGACTGCACCTTTTCTATCATCTTTAGATGTAATTTGAGGTTGTGGAGCAGGCGGAGCAGAAGCATTAGTGGGTGGAACTGCAGGCTGTGAAAGCAGAGGAAGCCGGGATACCGGGATAAAAATCGGGTCGAAAGCACTAATATTGTTACCATTAACATCAGTAATGGCCTGTGGAGTTGTCCCAAACCTGGAAGCAACAGAAGTCAAGTTATCTTCAGGATGATAAATATAGGTAATGAGATAATTGGTTCTGCCCTGCTGCAATTGTGTTGAATTGGGACACTTGCAAAATATGGGGAAAACAGCACTACTACCAATTTGTAGCTTTTCAGGCACAAGAGTTGGATTCACAACTTCAACAGATTGGTAAGTTGTGAGGTTTTGGTAATCCTGAGTGGAAACTTTCCAAAAGGTATCACCACTTTGGAATGTGAAATTCAGCCCAGCATAAGAAAGGTTGCCAAAACTGGAATTGATGAAATTACACCCACAATTGATGGGAACAAGAAGGGGTTGATCAGGGATGAGTGGAGAAGTTGCATTAGAAATGGATACATTGAAATTACTGGGTTCAGCAATCATCTTTCTGCTAACTGAGAACAGATCACCAACAGAAGCTAAATCAAGGGAATCTGGACCCATAGCTCTGAAGAAAACATATGTTTGACAGGGATAATTGGCTTGACTTGGGCTGCAACTATATCCATAATTGACTGGTTGTGCTTGAATCTGAATCAAATTCTGGAAACAGAGGAAGAAGATTACCACCAAAGGAAATAAAAATGGTGTCTTGAACAACATCATTTTTAGGGTTGTTAGCTACCTAGCTCAGTTCTGGATTCTGGAATGGAAGAAAAAAAGATTGGATTTTTTTGTTTATATAACAAGATTCCTTTGTACCTTCAAGGCCTCAACTTCTAACTAATGCCTTCCCCATTGGCATAGTGGCAAAGTTGGTATCATGAACAGAAGAAACATGGGACTTAGAATTTCAATTTTTTATTTTTCTTCTTGATGGACCCAATTCTAATCCACAGAAAGACTTCCAATTCCTGGTCAACTTTTGCTTAGGGAAAAACTTGTGTCATCTTTGTTGTTGTTTTCTGACTATAATATATAATAATAACTTAATAACCGTGTGATGAGCCCACCATTGTTTTAGGATATTATTTCTAGTTTTCCACAACAATTATCATCATGATTTGGAATTTAACTGAATTGATGCAGTTTCAGAGAAGGATGCGCCAACGTAATATTTTGGGCGCTTTGAGGTTGGATGAAGATGAATTCATTATTCATGTTTCCTCTCTCTCTCTCTCTCTCTCTCTCTCTCTCTCTCTCTGGTTAGAGTTGTTCTTAAGAAAAAATGAAATCATGACATCATTTCATTAGCTGGTTGGCAAGTTCTTATATGGCTTCAGTCTTTTTCAAAGAATGTGATAGTTATGAACTAATTTATAATTAGTTCAAGGTGATATAACATGCATCATACAACAAGTATGTTTGTTTCATTTTTTTAATGTGTGTTTTTAGGTGTTTTTTGTATTAAGAATGTAAAAACGTGTATTAAAAATGTAAAAATGTATATTGGGATGAGACAGTTATTATTTAAATATTTTGAAAATACCATCAGAAAAACCTAACAAACAAAAAATACTTCCGTCCCAAAATATTTGCTCTGAATCAAAATACACCTAAGCTAGTTTGACTGTTTAAAAATGTAGTCTTTGTTGACACTTAAAAGCCATCTAAATTCAAAATTTCAATGCAAATCACATTTTTGATTTGTTCCCCCGTTGTAAAATATCTGATTGACCCTGCAATTGTTACTGTCTTCATAAGTCTCCAATTGAGAAGAACTTTTCATCCAGTTCCACTTTTCCACCTCCCTATTATATTATTGTGGAGGATAGGATTGGAAGTGGGCTTGAATTTACTTTGATTGGGTAAGTGAATTTAATGGCCACTTACTGGTTTGAAAATAACACGGCTAGAGTCATATCAATAATTAAAATATTTGTTACGAGAATTTTATTTTTCAGTAATCGGGAATTAGTGTTTGAATGTAATTTGTGTCCGCTTAGTACTCTAGGCCATATATTCCAGCAATTTTTAGCGTATTGTATGGAGAAAGGTTTATACGAGTAGGATTTTGTCAACGGAGTGAGGCAAAATGACGCTAGACTCTGGTCCACAATTCACATTAGAAGAAGAAATTCTTGAGTGCTTTCTTTCTCAAGCTGTACTAATATAGCTTTAATCAAAAAGTCTATGTTTTCATTTGTTGGAAGACTTGCAGGTCAATGGTGGAGTCAAGACGCAATAGCCTTTCTGGATAACTGTCCTTCAAGTCTTGAAGGCTGTAAACGTCTAACATGGGGCATTAAACCTTGTACTACAGTTGTCTGAATTTTAGTTGCACTATTGAAAATTTCCATGGAGATTTTAGTGAGAATCTTTTCAACATTTTCAGATTCCTAGACTGTTACTTTTAGCTAGTGAATCTCTACTAACTGAATCATTCAATAAGTAGTAAAAGAATATATTCCCACTAACCCATAATTATTGTGCATTTTGAATTTTCATTTCTAGTTCAAATTGTACTAAAAGTGAAATTTCAAAATGAAAAGTGGACAAGAATTTTAAGACAGAAGGAGTAACAAATTGGTAACATTCTGTTGTTTTTGCAACATTGATGTACATAAAGTATTCAACTAAAGAAATTTCTAATACTTCATATTAGTTTTCAAAATCCTGATCCGAATCTTAGAATCTTACGATCCTACGATCCAGAATTAGGAAATCGATCTTGGATCTTATGGAATTCTTCTTTGTAGTGGGATCTTATAAAATCCTTCAAAATCCCAATCTAAATCGTAAGATTCTACGATCCAACGATCCAATTCATTTTGTCGATATTTGTACAAATCGTTGATTTAGTATAAAAAAGAGGAAAAAATGATTAGAAAATATATAAAAGTTGAATTTTTGAGTTGATGATACTTATGCGGGCACTAATTTATTTCTCCCCTATAAAATCAAACAAGAATTAAACTGACAAATTGATACTCGTAATTTCAGAATTATTATAATATTTTAAATAGTTTCAATCCCGCCAATCTAATCTCACCGATCCAGAATCTGATCTGATCCTGAGACGCCAAAACGATCCTGTGTGAAATTCCGATTTTGAAAAAATCAGAATAATTGGGTCATTGGGGGATTTCAGCAACTATATACAATGAATTTCTTGCAGGATCAGAAGATCAATATTGTTACATTTGGGCAGGTTTTTTTTGCAACATTTTAGCCAACCATACAACAGATTAAGGAGGGAGAAAAGAGAGCAAAAGAACAAAAAAAAAACTGTTTAGCTTTTCAAGATTTCTATGGTTTGCTGAATTCTGATCAAACAGTACTATCATCTCTTCATAATGTCACTAGGTTCTTTCTTGATGGTGAAGTCCCAAAGGTCACCATACTTTTCATTGAAATCCCAAATGTCCATGGTGTTGTAATCATTGATCAACTTATCACGAGCCCCTCTCTCCATATTATATATTTGAGGCTCAAAGTTGTGAGCTTCACTTGGTTTATCCATTTCAATCACACAGAATAATGAAACGAAAACAGCAGCTCCAATGTACAAGTATTCTCCCTGCAAAAGATAACAAGATTCAGAATTTTATTTTATTTTTTTCTCTTCAGTTTTTGAGAAGAAAAAAATGAATCAATTTGTAATGTCTACTGAGGATCAAATAAAATTTGCATTACCGGAACGTTGAAGTACATCCCAGCAGCAATTGCTGGAAGGAATATCCAAGAAATAAAACCTGTTCCAAAGCAAATAATTAAGGTTGGTGACATCTTACTTTTGACAGTCATTTGGGACGAAGGAAAATACTCCCTCCCCCGTCCCAAAATTATTGTCCAATTTGAATTTTTACTTATAACTGAATTTGTACTAAATGAAATTTCAAACTCAACAATAATTTTAGGACGAGGGAGTAAGAAACAACTGCTAGATGATTACTGTTAATTGGTACCTTGAAATCCCTTTGGGGGTCCTATAGATTCATACTCTTCTGCAACTGTACTCCAAAATGCGCCTGAAAAGAGGCATCTTTTGAGAATCAAGATTGCCCTTTTAAGTACCAAATCTAAGTAGTCTTGGCTCTCAACTCTCAAACAATCCAAAAATCAAAATTGAGGATAACTTTTCCACTTAAAGCAGCTTCTAAAACCCAAAGAACCTTGACTCACACTGAATTATGCTGAATTAAACTCGAGAATACAATCCTAATTCATAAAGACATGATCTTGCTAAGGAAAACTAACATGAAACATACTAATTCATACTTATTAATGGCTCAATGGTGAATAACTGAATGATATATACATGATTCTTACCTTTCTTCTGTTCACCTTCATAAAATGTATGGTGATCATCATATTTGCCATAAATGAAATCCGCCTGCAATAATCAAACCCCAAAATTAGCCCACAAAACAGAGAAACCAAAGCCAAAGAAACTGCCTTTACAGAAACCCTTTGCATAAAAAAGTTCAGGAAAACATACTTCATCAATGCCATTGGTTCTCCATCTGTCCACAAAATCTTCATTGAGGTCAGGCTCTATTTCTGATAATCCAGCACACAATCTCCTTGGCTTGATTCTGTTTAATGGAGTACTGAAAATTGGGTAAGCTGAACTGGGCTGTGTTGATGATTTCAATGTAGTTTGACAAGATTCACATTTGGATTGAGCAGTCTTGGGCACTGAATTGAGTGGAAGTGCTGACAATGTTGTTAAACCTGCCATTTCTCTTTTGTTATTAACTCTCTATCTTCCATTGCTTATCTGGTGCTTCTTTTTGGTTTTGTATGGACGATGATGAGCAGCCCTTTCCATCTTATCCAGTTCTATTTCAAAGAATAAAGGGGCCTTGGAGGGAATTACATGCTGTTTAACTTTGCATATGGATTTACTATTGGAGTTTTTTTTGAAAAGTGGATTTACTATTGGAGTGAATATTGAAAAATATGGAAAAGCTTGTATGAAACCTGGTTCATGAAATTATTCCCTCCATCTCAAAATTTATTGTCGAATTTTCATTTCCAATTCAAGTTGTATTAAAAGTGAAAATTCAAATAAAAAAGTAATTTTGGGACGGAGCAAATATATCATAATGTAAGAAAATTTCGATTAAATCGTATGGTAACTACAGTTGCCATTTTTAATCTTAATTATAAGGATCATAGTTTATGGAATCTTTAGCAGCCTTTATTCTAAAAGTATAGACAATCAACTACAAAATTGGAGTCACCTAAAGCGTATTTGATCTTGAGAGGCCAACATCTTCTAAAAAGTTCCTTGAATCACATTATCATGAATTTGGAGAGCACTAGTTATTCTCAAACGTGAGTGATTATCCATCTTCACCATTACACATCATTGATGCAAATTTTATTTAATTGCCACTATAACTTTGAATGGATACCATATGAAATTATATAATTGGTTGGTTTGTTAGCCCCAAGAAGCAATCATGGATTAGTACCTTCACAAATAATACAAAGAATCTTGTCACAGTCGGCCCATGGATAAAATATCCTTTGAAAAGAGAAAAAAAATAAAATAAAAAAATGACCAAACCACTCCTACACTTGACCACCATAGCTGCCCCTTTTCGTATTCACTGGCTCCACTGCCACACTCCACTTCTTCTTCCGTTCCCCTCTTCCCCTTCTCGATTTCGCTCCTTTTTTCTCTGTTCCAAATTCTTCAGGCCCTTTACTTCCAGACCCTTTTCTCAATCCGGGTAAAATCTCAATATCTGTGTCTTTGGTAAATGTAATTCTATGGAAAGTTTGGTTCTTGGTTCTTAATCCCTGAAAGAATCCTTATTAGTAACTTATATAGCGTGTTGTGCCTTTTGGGTTGACTTGTATGTTATTCAGCTTAAAGATTCTTGTTTGCAGAGCCCGTTTGCTATCTTTCATAACTATTCTCATTTGCATTTGAAATTAGCTTTGTTTAGTATAACTTTCTGATGATTATGGAGTTTACCACTGTTTCTTCCCTGGTGAGTGTAACTGTGTAAATCGTGATCAGTGTCGTTCAGCAGTAATGGAGAAGTTTATAAAACCTTAAAGTTACATTGTAAAAGATAAGATTTTCGGGTTATAGTTCAGTTCTAAGTAGTATGTTTTCCATAGTTTAGTTCTTTAGTTGGGTAACAACTCGTTGTGAATTTTATTGTTTTTATTTCAAATCTTTTCATTGATATTGGATTTACTGATCACTGGAGTTTTGCATATGGAATTGTTGGTTTTCCCTTTTAAAATCATGGCCTTCAGTCAAGAACGATATGCAGAGGATGTAGGAATTACTGAATATTTGATTGACCATCAATGAGGAAAAGATGAATCATGTTATGATCCGTGCATAACAAATGATGTTTGATACAGAATGGAGAACAATTCTCGCTAGTAATATCTGTTTTTGCTTTTATGGTTTTGTTTAGAGTGGCAATCCAGGTGTAATCTTAATGTGCATGGCAAGTTGGTATCTGAAATATATGAATTCTTACTTTTGATATGCAATATCAGTGTGATCCGTATAATGTTCTCATAGTTTTTAATCTTCATTACAATGTCATCTCAGTTACTGACTTCTCATAGGATCTGGCATACATCTCTCTTGATTAGCCAGAGAAGTTTTTCTAGTTGCTTGGTGATGGACAGCTCCGGAGTCAACTCCTTCTTGAAAGCCCCGGCTGGTTTAGACATTGCCTCTGAAGAAGAATACACTGTGCAGTCGAAGCTGCTACAAGATTTCATAGAAATATCGTCAATTGACAAGTCATGGACTTTTGCATCTCCCAGTGGTATGGCTACTTGAGTTTAAAATCTAATTCTTTATGTGGGGAACCTCAAAGAAACCGGATGAAAGGATCCAGCACCAAAAAGTGTTGTTTTTTCTGATTAGTTTTGATCATGGCTTCCTTAGCTGGGTTGATGCAGCTGACTTAAGTTTTTCTTTTTTTCCATACATTTCTGTAGGAAATGGTTCCCAATGTATGTTTGCTATTAGCCAACCCAATCTCATGGCAAATACGAAGAGGAGATCTATCTTATCATCCCATATTATAAAACAAAGCAGTGATTCAGTCACCTTTCACTGGGCGCCCTTCCCTGTAGAGTTGAATGGTGTCTCTTCAATTATCCCATCTCCATCTGGTTCAAAACTTCTGGTTGTGCGAAATTTTGAAAATGATTCTCCTACGCGCTTTGAAGTCTGGGGTCCATCTCAAGTGGAAAAGGAATTTCAAATCCCTCGCACAATTCATGGCTCTGTCTATTGTGACGGATGGTAACTGGATCACCTGAAAAATTAGATATTGTCTTTGTCTCACAGAGGCTGGCTATATATTTTTCTTCATTTTCCATCCATTTTTATGATAAGCTTTTGATATCCATGAAGTTTGAACTTTCTGCTATGACCATGACAGGTTTGAGGGAATCTCATGGAACCATGATGAAACTCTAATTGCTTATGTTGCCGAGGAGCCAGTTCCCAGTAAACCCACATTTACTAGATGCGGTTACAAGAAAAGTGATTCTGCAGACAAGGACGTGGGCAGCTGGAAAGGTCAGGGAGAGTGGGAGGAGGATTGGGGAGAAAGTTATGCTGGGAAAAGGCAATCTGCCCTTTTTGTCATTAACATAAACAGGTTTCATCAGAATAATGCTTGAATAATTGTGTAAAGCATGACATCTATGTTTACTCTAGTCTAAGATCTGGAGAAAAACTCTGCAGTGGGGAGGTACAAGCTGTTAAAGGAATTGGAAAGTCATTGAGTGTTGGACAGGTTGTATGGGCTCCAGTAGCTGAAAATTCAGATCAATATCTTGTATTTGTAGGATGGCCATCAGATACTAGAAAGTTGGGCATCAAATACTGCTACAATAGACCATGTGGATTGTATGTGGTTAAAGCTCCATTCTTGAAATCGGAAGCTGTTGATTCTAGGTTGGTCACTGAATGATAGCGCAAAAAATGAAGGATTTTCCATTATTAGGTTTTCCTTATAGTTAAAAATGTTTTTCTTTTGTAGTTATTCCGGCGATAATGCATCGGATGGTGTATCTGTGGTTGCTCTGACAGAGAGCACTGGTAGTGCTTTTTTCCCAAGATTCAGGTAAACTTGTAGATTAGATTCCCCCGCCCCCACTTAGGGTGGAGAAACTTATCATTGAGAACAATGAAAATGAAGGGAATTAAAGGAAATGTTATAGTTTTATGATGCATTTCTTTATGTGTTTCCGGTTCTATGCTGATTGATTTTTTATCAGAGAGTAATCTAAACATTTTGAATTTAAGAAATTTCATACAATTCTATTGTAGAGTTGCATTAGACAAAGAAGGCAAATCATATTACACCCAAAATAAATACTGATTACTGCATTACTTTAAAAATACAGCCCAGGTGGAAAATCCCTTGTGTTTTTTTCGGCCAAGACTGCTGTTGAATCTGGGGCGCACTGGACAACCAATTCGCTTCATAGAATAGACTGGCCTGCTGATGGAAAGCCCAACCAATTGCCGAAAGTTGTTGAAGTGGTATGCTTCGCTTGTTAAAATGGCACCAAGTTAAACATGTTAAACATCATTTTAAATTTTCTGAAGCTCTGAACCAAATGATGCTATGAATCATATGCAATTTATGGCAACACAAGGTCTTATGTAAGAGTGAGGGTTTTGCGGGTTTCATGATGTTTCCATCTTGTCTTGGAGAAAATCTTGTTTTTGTATACTGTCAATCATTTTTATTATACAGTCGTCTTAATTTTATTGTGACACAATATTATGCCATCTGTAGGTTCCAGTTGTGATGTGTCCCGAAGATGGCTGCTTCCCTGGGCTATATTGTACAAATATTTTGAGTAAGCCATGGCTTTCTGATGGATGTACAATAATCATATCTTCAGTTTGGCGCAGTGTTGAAGCAATTCTTGCAATCAATATCTTGAGGTAACTATGTCTCAAAATCATCTCGTTAACTTTAGTTTATTGCTTTTTATTTAACAGTCAGTTATTTCCCAATTTTTTTCAGTGGAAACATATCACGGATCAGCCCTAGTAACTCAAACTTTGTTTGGAATCTACTTGCCCTTGATGGCGACAATATCGTTGCTGGTAGGGAAATTAAAATTCATAAATTATAGTCTCCATGTGCATTTTTTAAAGAGATGACTTGCAGAAAGCTTAGTCGATGAATTTATATTCTATTTTTTCAACTTTGAAGTATCTAGCAGCCCAGTTGACATTCCCCAAATCCAGTATGGAATTCGAAAGACATCCGGAGATGCCACTTGGAGCTGGTTAGATATCTCAAGCCCCGGCCCAAGATGTTCTGAAAAGGTAAGTAATATATATTAATAAAAGAATTTAGACATTTCCTATTTGTGATCCGCTGATGGAGGCAGCGCTGTCATTGGTGGCAACCTTTTCTCTCTTTATTTCGTAGGTCAAGTCTGTGCTGGAAGCTAGGCAGTTCACTATAATGCAAATTCCAGTCAAGGATATCACTGACAAGCGTACAAAAGGTATTGAAGGCTGGGATTTCAGCTCACTATCTCTAATCAAATATGACAACTGCTAGTGTTAATGTGCCTGAATTATTTGACAATAAGATGGGTCTATCTCTCTCTCTCTTTCTAATTTTTTGTGTGTTTGTCTGTGTAAGATCCTAAGTTCCACCCAGAGAGGAAACTGTAGACTTCATTTATTGAGAGAAAGATATCATGCTATGCTCTAATTTTTAATTCCTGTGAAAATCTTATTGACATAGGTGCCAACAATCCCTATGAAGCCATATTTGTTTCCTCCAAATCTCAAAAGAATAATCCTGATCCTCTAATTGTGGTGATTCACGGTGGTCCTCATAGTGTCTCTCAGTCCAGCTTCTCCAAGTCCTTGGCTTTCCTCACATCACTTGGTTACAGCTTGCTAATAGTAAATTACAGGTAAGTGGAGACTTCTCTCTCTCTCTCTCTCTCTCTCTCTCTCTCTCTCTCTCATTTTTTACTTTACAAAAAGAAGCTTTGGAAATGGAAGGAAAACTGTATGCAGCTGCTACATTGTGACCAAAGGTCATGTGGCAGGCCGAACAGTCCTCCCTTTCGTAGTTTGCCACCTTTCCTCAAATTTTGGAAGAGCAAAGTTCACTTTTTCGACTGCTTGATAGTTATGCTTTGTTAGACTCACTGGAGTAAAGATCACCTACTTCATTTTTGAATTTTGATCTTATCACAGAGGTTCTTTGGGTTTTGGAGAGGAAGCTTTGCAGTCTCTTCCCGGCAATATTGGGTCTCAGGTTTGCATGGCTCTGTCTGTTTAAAGTTTATTGCTTATCAGCCTTCTCGTGCCTAATTTCACACTGTACTATGAGCAGGATGTCAATGATGTACTTGCTGCCATTGATCATGTCATTGCCAAGGGACTTGCTGATCCGTCTAAAATAGCTGTGGTTGGTGGTTCCCATGGTGGATTTCTGACAACTCATCTAATTGGACAGGTTTAGTCTCTTATAAGAATTCCTACTGTCGTTGTCTTCAATGTTAAAGCATGTAAAATGACTTATTTATGTATTTATTTATTTTGGAGTTAATCATAGTTAATATAGGGGGTACATAAAATGAGAGACAGTTGAAGAAATTAAATAAAATGTTCCAATCATGTAACAACCAAATGAAATGAAAGTGTCTGCCTACCCAGAGTGACATTTGACCTTAATTCAGGATCCTGCAACCAAACCTTTGGTGAACTATTTCTTTGACCCTGGACTACTCTTGGTTTCAATTGCATCCATTTCTAGTGAAAATTTGCTTCGCCTGTCAGAGCATGCTATGCAATGGCTTTGTATAGAGTAGCCATATGAAGAGAGACGTATTATGAAAGTTTACTCATTTCTCATTGTTTTTTTTTTAAAAAAAAATTATTTTGAGCAATCTTCCTTGAAGACTGAAGTAAATGCTTGAAACTTTTCTTAGCCTATGTAGTTGCTCCACAAATATCAGCCATTTTCATAATTCTTACCTTCCACCCAACATTGGTTCAGTTTTGTCATAATGTTGTATTTTGAGCAACCTTCCGAGGAAATACCAACAAAGCAAAACTACTCTAATATTCTTTGCTTTTCTAGTTTCTGAATGACTATCTGCAGTGCCTTCCACCCAATCCCAATGTTCCCTCCCTGCCTGCATGAGTATATTATGCATGTATTATGTGCACATCTGTATGAATTCAAGTTGTTTTACTTAAATTTCCACCCCAGAGCTAACTTGTAAAGGGAAGGAAAAGGATAACGCTCAACTACAACGATCGTTTTAAAAAAAAATAAAAAAATCTACAACGATTATTCAAAAAAAAAAAAATGGTTACAAATCATCGTCAATTTTTGAGAGAAAATTAATTGCTCTCTGTCGTGCAGGCACCGGACAAGTTTGCAGCAGCTGCTGCTAGGAACCCTGTCTGCAACCTTGCATTGATGGTTGGTACAAGTGACATCCCTGATTGGTGTTATGCTGAGTCATTTGGCAGCAAGGGAAAATCGTTATACTCTGATGTGGCATCTCCTGAACATCTCACTGTATTTTATGATAAATCCCCTATTTCTCACATATCCAAGGTATGGTTATGAGCTTTGACCTTAAGCAAATTGGGTAAATTGGATGATCTTACCTCAATGTTTTCAACATATTTCTATTGGAAGTATAATGGATAATACTTTTTGCATGGCGATATTTGACTAATTGTTGTTAACAATACTTGCAGGTAAAAACTCCTGTTATCTTTCTCTTAGGTGCCAAAGATCTCCGTGTGCCTGTTTCCAATGGTATACAGGTAGCACCACCTTTCCTGCTGTATCTATTTATGCTTAGTTTCATAATATAGAACTCTCTACCTTGGATTCCCTGACTACTGGACAATACCTGAAGGGAGAGACGATCCCGTGTCAACTAGAGCAGCTTTTACAATCAATTCGTGTCTTTTCTGAAGAACCGTAAATGATACATCATATGTACCCTGATAGTCGAACTGGTAATTTTTATGTTTGTAGTATGTGCGGGCGCTAAAAGAGAAAGGCAATGTGGTCAAGCTAATTGTGTTTCCCGAGGATATTCATCCAATTGACAGGTAAGATAATGTTCCATTGCCGGCAGTCAGCCCATAATCATTTCTAACTAAGTGTCCCCTGGACTTACCGTGGGTTTTTGCAGTCCTAACATATGTTATCTCCACTACAGGCCACAATCCGACTTTGAGAGTTTTCTTAACATTGGCGTATGGTTTAAGAAGTACTGCCATTAATCATTCAAATACTTTCTTCTGTTTCCGGCCCGATTTTTTCTCTGTCGACTCTGATGGGAAGATATGCATTATGAACAAACAACTCAATCTGCCATGAATGGGTGTTCTCCTACAATTCTAACATTCTGAAACCGCCTGGGCTGGAAAGCAATAAGGCAGCAGCATATTCTTGTGAATTTGTCTTATGAAGTGCAGATACATGTCCAGTCCAGTATATATCTGTATGACTTTGTATTACATTAACCATTTTGGCAGTAACAAAGTTGTTTGGCTGTCGACTTGTTTTGTTGGAGTTTCACTTTGGTATCATCTGGAGCAGAATAAAAATATACACGCAATTTTCACAACATTGAGCTCAATTCATATTTTCAATGGCTTAATGGATTAAGTATTCCTCTTTTTGTATAAATATATAGTCTCATCAAAATTTAGATTCTTGCTTGTAGAACTGAAACAAAGCAATAAATATTTCTTCCTCCATCCCCCTTGAAAGGATGCTCTAGTTTAGTTTTTCATAATTTCAACTAACAATGAAAAATAAAAATTCAAACTGTATAATCATATCGGGTTATAGCGAGTATTTTGGAATGAACCTATACAGTATGCATAGATTCAAAGCATTACTGGCTGTTACTTTTACTTGTTAAGCAAATCTGAATTCGTTGATAATCAGTCAGATTACCTTAACGAAAATGGTAAAGGAAAGAAAGGAAGAAAAAAAGAATTTTTGACGATTATTCCAGGATCCAGATCAATAAGCTTGCGATAAAAAGATTTAAAAACGCCGACTGTGGGGATCGAACCCACGACCACGTGGTTAAAAGCCACGCGCTCTACCACTGAGCTAAGTCGGCTTACGTTTAGGCTTGGTACAGAAATATTATAATAATAATACCTCGAATTCGTCTTCCTTTCATGCCCAGTTTCTGATAACTCTAAAAACTGAAAAGAGCGGCAAAAGGACATGAAGAAATCATTCGTCTCAGACGAAAACTTGAGCTATGTTTATCAAGTGCCAGCAATTCGATGCCACCAACAGTTGTTTCCCTACTTTGAATCCCACAAAAAATGTTCCCAGTATTCAAATTGGTGTTTCTTTCACTCCTATTCAAACAGCAAAATATGACCACAAAAGAGGCCAACTCCATAAACTCCAACACCAGGAGGATAAACTGCTTCAGGGCACCAAATGGGTCAAGAATCCGAGCAGGAAAGATGTCTTATTTGAAAACCCAGTTGGAAAAGTTGGAAAAGATGAAAACTTTGGTGGCAATTTAGCTCAAGGGAATGACATGAAGAATTCTCGCAGTAATAATACTGGTTCTGGAATTCCTGCATCTGGGTGTAGGATCCAGAACAATTTTCTGCGAAATAAAGCGTGTGAGATTGATAAAGATGTGAACTTGAACGGGAAAAGTAGGCCTAAAGGTGGCCAGGCCGTATTGGAGAAATCCCATCCCGGAAATTCAACTTATAAGAGAAGAGAAAATGGTGGTCTAAATGGAGGAAATGCATTTTCTAGGAGCCCAGGTTGGAAAATGAAGGATAAGAGAAGAATTGGTGATGACCACAGAGGGGTAAACTTCAATGGAGGTGGTGTGGAGCAAGTGAAGACCAAATGTTCGACGAAATGGCTGAAATACAGTGGGTGTATTCCAGCTATACTGGAGGCTTTGGAGAGTTTCAGTGATTTGGATGAGGCGTTCAGGCCGTGGGAAAAGAGTCTGACCAATAAAGAAAGAAGTATAATTTTGAAGGAGCAAGAAGGGTGGGAAAGAGCATTGGAGATTTTTGAATGGTTTAGAAGGAAAGGTTGTTATGAAGTGAATGTTATACACTACAATATAATGCTTCGGATTCTAGGTAAAGCTAAGAGGTGGGCTGAAGTTGAGTATGTGTTGGAAGAAATGAGACGAGAGAACATCAAGCCAATTAATTCAACTTATGGAACCCTGATTGATGTGTACAGTAAAGGAGATCGTCGGAAGGATGCTGTCAGCTGTTTGGAATTGATGAATGCTCAAGGGATGGAGCCAGATGAAGTGACGTTGGGTACTATTGTTCAAATGTACAAGAAGGCCGGGGAGTTCAAGAAGGCTGAGGAGTTTTTCAAGATGTGGTCATCAGAAAACTCTCTGGATAATGGAAAAGGTAACTTAGGAAGAAATGCTGCGTCCTCGAGAAGTGACTCTGGTGCTCCTGTTTGTCTGAGCTCAATCACCTATAATACCATGATTGACACATATGGCAAGGCAGGGCAAGTGGAAGAAGCATGTCAGACTTTTGATCAAATGCTTAGAGAAGGGATTGTACCAACCACAGTTACCTTCAATACAATGATTCACGTGTGTGGTAACAATGGCCAGTTAGATGAAGTTTCCTCACTTATGAAGAAAATGAATGATCTTCGATGCGCTCCTGATATTCGAACATATAATATTCTCATCGCGCTTCATGCCAAGCATGATGACATAACTACAGCAGCAAACTACTTTAGGAAGATGAAAGCGGCTTCTTTGGAGCCAGATATTGTGAGTTACCGCACTCTTGTTTATGCATTCTCAATAAGGCATATGGTCAATGAAGTAGAAGAACTCATTTCAGAGATGGATGAGAGGGGTCTGGAGATAGATGAATTTACACAATCAGCGCTGACTAGAATGTATATAGAAGCTGGGATGCTGGAAAAATCATGGCTGTGGTTTCAGAGATTCCATCTTTCAGGGAACATGACTTCTGAGTGTTACTCTGCCAACATTGATGCTTTTGGGGAGCATGGGTATGTTTTGGAAGCAGAGAAGGTTTTCAACTGTTGTGTAGAGGAGAAAAAGCTAAGTGTAGTGGACTTCAATGTTATGATTAAAGCTTACGGGATCAGCAAGAGATATGGTGAAGCATGCTGCTTGTTTGATGATATGGAGGAGCACGGTATACTTCCTGATAGATGTAGCTATAATTCGCTCATTCAAATGTTAGCTAGTGCAAACATGCCCGAAAAGGCAAACAGCTATGTAATGAAAATGCATGAGGCAGGCTTCATTGATGATTGTGTCCCTTATGGTGCTGTGATTTCCAGCTTTGTGAGGTCAGGGAAGTTGACAATGGCTGCAAGATTGTACAAGGAGATGCTTAGTTTCAAAGTTCAGCCTGATGTGATTCTTTATGGTATATTGATAAATGCTTTTGCTGACTCTGGAAATGTCGCAGAAACTACCGCTTATTTTGATGAAATGGTAAACTCCGGAATACCACCAAATGAGGTAATATACAGTTCTTTAATAAAGCTATACACCAAAGTAGGATACTTGAAGGAAGCACAAGAAACATATCGAAGGCTTCAATCCTTTGAGTCAGGTGCAGATGTATATTCTTCAAATTGTATGATAGACCTCTACAGCGAGAGATCCATGACTAGGCAAGCGGAAGAGGTTTTTGAATATTTGAAGAGAAACAGGAAAGCTAATGAATTTTCCTATGCTATGATGCTGTGCATGTACAGGAAAAATGGGAGATTTTCAGAAGCTACTCAGATTGCTCAGAAGATGAAAGAACTGGGCCTTCTGACGGAATTATTGACCTTTAACAATGTTCTTGGCTTGTATGCATCTGATGGGAGATACAAGGAGGCAACAGAGACTTTCAAGGAGATGTTGGCATCTTCCATTGAACCGGATGACTCTACTTTCAAGGCACTTAGTAATATTTTGGCAAAATGTGGAGTACCACGGGAGGCTATTTTCAAGCTAGAGCGAAAGCGGAAAAAAGATGCTAAGCTAGGCCTACAGGCATGGAGCTCAATCTTATCTTCCTTAATTGCTGTCTCTCATGATGATTATGACGATGGCGATTATTTTCAAGCTTGATATAACTTAGCATTGTTGCTGTAAGGATTCTCATTGGCTCTGCTTCATGCACTATAGCTGAAAAACTTGGTAGTCTGACAGCATTTTGGAAAAAAACAGTTGCTGAAATTGGTTGTAAAAAGTAATTCCTTCAGAACTTTTTGCAGGAAATTTGCTGTAGAATCTGTATAACTTTTAGCAGACCTTTCCAAAGGCTCAGCATAGTTGAATGTTTGGCTTTGTTTGTAAATATGAATCATCAATTGGTCTAAATGCATCAGACTTCTGTAAAATACAAATGCATTTAACATTTTGACTGGGTTTTTGACTTTTTGTCAAACCCTTTGGATTCGCTATAGAGTAGCCTTTTGTTAGATATGGCAGCCACCCCTTACCTTAGGAGTGTGCCAGTGTAATCAGCTATTATAGCTTCCACAGTACTGCAGAAACAGATTACAGCCTTATAGGCCTCTTAGATTTAATTTCAATCCATTTAATGATTCAGGTGAAAGTTTTGACCTACCTAGCCTAGGCTAGTGTATTTGTTTTAGTTTACTACTACTACTACTTTAGGCCTTGCCTAGAAGCATAGAGGAAACTTGGTTTTAGGTTCCGGTAAATAAAGTGAAAAAGTTTGGTTACGGAGCTGATAAGAGTACTTTCCTTTTGGGCCTATGAAAGCTTCATTCTTGTACTTGCAAAATGCAAATGGTATATAAATGTTTCCAGTTTTGGTAGCTAGGCTACCTTTTCAGGTGTCTGCTCTGACTACTAAGCCCAAAGATGATTACTTTGTTCTACAACTTTTTCTAGATATTTAGTATGTCAATTCTGAACAATACAGATTTCTCGATACACAAGTCCCAAACTCATCAATGTATTCACGTCGAATATGAACAAATTTTTTTTTTATGTAATTAAATCCAAAAAAGCTCAAGTGAACATCAACTGAAAAATAAACAAGTATACACAAATGCCAGTTACAGGATTGATTAAGATTAGCTCACTTCCTATTCTGTGTAAACACTAGCAGTAATAATCTAAACATTCAAGAACTCCTCCCTAAGAAACAAAAACTAATCTTCAAAAAAAAATAAATGCTAACCTATATCAATCCTATAGTTTGCTCAGCTAAACCAAAAAGGAATTCTATCTGTACAAATTATTCCCCCTCTAACTGAAATTTCTACCATATTTCAACATCCATATAGCTCATGATGCCATATTGCCACGGCAGAGCAACATCTTCAATCCCAAAGTTTTAATTGTTCACATTGAGATTCTGCAAACTCAATCATCCTTCTTTCAACTACCTTAAACTCTACCATCCACGACCCTTCAGCCACCTTCCAAATCTCCACCAACAATAATGCAAGCATAGGTCCAATATGCAACTTGCAGCAAAGTGTCATTGTATCATTTGTATCTGCTTAGTTATTTGATTCTTAAGGTCAAAGTAAAGATTAACTCAATTTCTTTGATGCTTCATGGGGATCTTAAGCTGTAAAATTTACAGGTTACTGATTCATGCACAAAGAAATACGCACGTCGTTATCTTCTGAGGTCCACTTATGGTGCATTGTGTCAAACTTGTCTATCCATAAACTTGAGCTTGTGAGACGAAGTGTTTAAGGTAAAAAAAGAAAAAAGAACATTTTTTGGGGCCTAGAATAGGATTTTGCAACGTGTATTTGTAGCTAATTTGATCTCAAAACCTTTTTTATGCACACTTTGTTCTCGAAGATAAACTTCGTTGGATAGCAATCAATTTTAAGGAAGAATTTTTTTTTTTTAAAAAAAAGAAATGTAGTTCACATTTCTAGGAAGAATATTTTATGCTCAAGGAACTCAGTACTTTGAAGGAGTAATATTTTGGCATGGGAGGCAATTTTCGAGCTTGGCATGGGAGCTCAATCCTATCTTCCTTAATTGCCGTCTCTCATATCATGACGATGGTGATTGTTTTCAAGCTTGATTTAACTTAGTTTGTTGCTGTAAGGATTCTCATTGGCTGTGCTTCATGCATCTTGGTTGAAAAACTTGGAAGTCTGACAGCATTTTGAAAAACAACAGTCGCTGAAGTTGTTTGTAGAAGTGAAAAAAAAAAGGTGTAGAAAGGAATGCACCTGGATCTATTTGGAGGAAATTTGTATAAATTTTAGTTTGACCATTTAAAAGGCTCAGTATAGTTGATTGTTTGGTTTGGTTTGTAAATATGAATTATCAATTAGTCTAAAATGCACCGGCCTTTTGTGGAACCTATGATCTTGTACTTGCAAATGGTTTATATGCTTCCAGTGGTAGACTTTTTTCAGGTGTTTGCTCTGGCAACCGATCCCAAGATTGATTGACCTGTTTTTCAACTTTTCTTTCTGAATTTCCACGTTTACAGAAATCATTTTTAAAATTGAACACTCAGGTTTCTTGATACAAATGCAGAACTCCTCATGCTGAAGATAACAAATACTTATATGCAAAACAAATGCATAGAAACTAAAGTTAACATCAACTGAAAGTTTGAAACTATTATACACAAAATGCCAGTTACAGATCAATCAAGATCAGCTCCCTCCCAAATCGCAAAGTCCCTATCCTGTATAATCAACTAGCAGTCATAATCTAAACATTCAAGAACTCCTCCCTAAGGCACAGATGCTAATCTATTACTATACAAGATTGAACTGCTCAGCTAAACCAAAACACAGATGCTAATCTATTACTATACAAGATTGAACTGCTCAGCTAAACCAAAACAGGAACTCTACTTCTGCAAACTATTTCCCCTTTCAAAATTCATCAAGCTCATTATGCCATGAGAGAGCAATATCTTCGAGCCCGGCTTTGAGTTGTTCCCACTGATATTCTTCAAACTCAATCATCCTTCCTTCCACAACCTTAAACTCCACCATCCACAACGCTTCAGCCACCTCCCAAATCTCCACCAACAACAATGCACACCCTTTGACTAATCCTATTCCTCCACCTTTGCCTCTTTCAATTCTATACCCCAATTCCCCACCAACCTTCTCAACTTTCTCTTCAATATCACCAACCTTTGACCCTGAAGTGAATCTCAACTCCTTCTTCTTCAATCCCATCTCGAACAACCCGGATAAATTGAGCCCAGATGACATAGAAATTATGTCAAAAGCATTCATCTTGGTCAGATAAGCAGAGTCTTTCTGAATGAACTGAGCACTCCATCCCTGTTGCTGCTTGCTTGTAATCTTACTCTTCTTAAACCAAGAGCTGTTCATCACCTCCTCAATCGTTAACCTCGTAACCGGATTCGGATCCAACAACCGGCAAATTATGCTTCTCGCCGGCTTAGAAACCCATTCCGGAAAACTAAACATCCGACGATTCATTGCTCTGTACATCTTCGGAAGATCACTATCATCAAAAGGAAGAGAACCCACAAGAAACACATACAAAAGCACCCCACAAGACCATGCATCAGCCTTTGTCCCATCATAACCCTTCCGGTACACAACCTCCGGCGCCGTGTACGCCGGAGTACCACAAGCCGTGTGAAGAAGCCCGTTTTTGAGCTGTTCCGGCAAGGCGGAGAGCCCAAAATCAGAGATTTTAAGGTTCCCTTCTTCATCCAGGAGGAGATTCTGCGGCTTAATGTCCCGGTGGGCTATTCCGTTCTGGTGGCAGAACTGCAACGCCGAGATCAATTGGCAGAAATAATTCCTCGCCGTCGATTCAGAGAACCGACCCTTTTGTTGAAGCTTCGTGAATAACTCCCCGCCTTGGGCTAGTTCCATAACTATGTGAACCTTCGTCGTCGTTCCCAAAACTTCGTGGATTTTAAGGATGCTTGGATGGTGCTTCAGCCGCTGCATTGCCGCCACCTCCCGGTTGATGAGCTGCTCCAGTGGGGCATCATAATTCAGGGATTTATCGATCGATTTGACGGCCACCTTTTTGGTGGTGTCTTCTAAAGGAAAAGCTTGATAAACTTTGGCAAAGCTTCCGCGGCCTAATAACCGGCCGAGTTGGTATTTGTTGAGGATGATTGAACCGCTGCCGCTGCCGCCGCCGCTGGTGGTTCGGGTGAGTCGGGATATGAAGGTGTTTGTCGGAGAAACCCTCTTCGGTTTTTCCATTTGGAGGCTCCCCGGCGGTGGTTTGGCGATCTTCCCCAGAACCACCACGGCCAACGGAGCCTTTTCGCCGTAGAAGAAAGGCTGCTAAGAGAGTATTTCTCTTACTAGTGGAGTTATTTTGGTTTTAGGGGAAATTTGTTAGCCCTTTGTTAGGCGGTTTTATAGTAAATTATTTTTTCTATTTTATTCTATTATTTGATCAGGCCCATTAGGGTAGTCTAATCATAATAATTAAAATTATTATATGTATTTTGTTTTGCATTAAGAAAAGCCAAATTTCATTTTAGAAATTTTAATTACATTTGCACAATTGAGAATTGATGAAGTAGAATGTTGGTTATAGTCCAACATATATAGTATCTATAAATTTCTCTCCTATTTCACTATTTTTTTTAGGCAAATAATAATAAAAGTGACAAAGTTGGGATTTAATGGAAAAATAAAATTGTAATTGTCGAGAATGAACAATTAAGACTATTCTTGAATTTTGTTGGATGATTTCGTAATGATAAGGGTATAAATGCAAAAGGATGTATTTATTTGCCGACTAACTAAATTTAATTACGTAATTTACCCGTTGCTGAAGAAAGGGGATTTGTTGCAAAATAAAATCCGGAATTTTAGATCAGAATTTAAAGGGTACCCTCTTTTATTCTTTTTCCTTCTTTTTTTTTTTTTTTCTTTTTGGGGGTTGCAAGTATAGTACAGCTATTTATAAGCTAAACCCTCCATTATTTATTGGCAGGTAAATTACGTAAGAAAAAGATATTATTCGATTCTTTTTTAATTTTTTTTTTTTAATATTGATGGTCTCAATGAAAATTTTTAGGGCAAAAAATATACACTTACCTCGGATAGATGGACAATAAGGTGATGAGTGATGTGCAAATGTCTAATGTCATATTATCCAATTCATTTCTTGTAAATTGTTACTCAATATTTGTAATCTTAACAATATTGTAAAGGAAATATTGTAAGGAAAAAAAAAAAAAACGCTTACCTTAGATAGATGCACAATTTGGTGATGACTAATGTGTTGAAGATGCTTGATTCTGATATTATTCACATCATTTCTAATTAAATTTTTCTCGAATAATTCTCGTCAAAATATATCATTCCTCCATATTTTTATTCTTGAACAAAATGCAAGGATTCTTTCCTTTCTTTAATCGTGATTATCATTACCTTGAAAAATTATGACTCTCTTACACAGTTCCACTGTACCATAATAATATTTCTTAACGTCAAATCAAGAGTTTAACTTTTGTAAAGATTAAATAAAAACATGATAATATTTTTTTTCCCATTAAATATTTGAGTCAGTCTACGTTTCTTTTTGGTGTTTAGCTACTTTTTCTCTTCATGTACATCTAACGTTCCTATTCACAATTTTTTTATGGCAAATTTTTTATGCATTGATGCTAATCGCAATTGAACAAACAATAAAGACTTAAACATAACGCTCAACTATAGTTGATTTTGAAAGATTTGTTTGGACCCATCATTATTACTTTTTTTTCATCTTTTGTAAAAGAAATTTATATTAAGAAGACCTGTAATAATACAGTCATGAACAAATTTGTATCGCATTTTTTTTAGTAAAGACCATGTAATTGATAAGTAAAACATTGATATAACAATAGTAGACACTTTACAAAAAAAAAAATAATATTATTATTATTGCTTTAGTCGTTGTAAAATTTGTCACTGGCTGTATCATTACGGTGAAAGAGACAATGACGACAATGGTTGCGATGATGAATTAGGCAACTAATTTGTTTTTGTTTTTTTTTTAATTTACTACTCCACTAAAGAGGAGGAGCCAAAGTTGAGGACAGATTGGAAAATTTGGAATATGCAAAAGCATCTACAATCATAATATTATCTTTTCTGCACTCACAACAAACTGGCCACCACTATTTACCAACTTTCCATGATAATAACTAATAATATTTCACGATATTTACAGCTCCAATATGCAACTTGTGGCAAAGTGTCATTCAATGATTTGTATCTGCTTAGCTATCTGATTCCTAGGTCAAACAAAGTTTTTGAAAGATTTAACTCAGTTTCTTAGATGCTTCTTTTCCTGGGGATCTTAGCAGCTGTAAATCTATAGGTTACAGATTCATGCACAAAGATTTTTACGCACGTTTATATCTTCGGTGGTCAACTTATTTAAGAGTAGGAGAGAAGTGTATGGTCAACTGTATTATTCATGAGAAAAATCAAACTTGTCTACGCATAGATATAAGCTTGTGAGAAAATTAATCTCGCTTGGTGCCTTGTTTGGTTGCTCAATTTTCTAAAAAATAGTAAAGCATTTTGTCTGGATGAGAAAAGAATTCTGTAATATATATCTAATTATTGTTATTTTTATCTAGATGCCTCTCGCGTGTATTAGTATTAATTCATAATCGCTTAAGAAAATAATCGTCAGATAACAATCAGGTCTTAAGAAAGGACTCACTTTTGAGATATTACTAGTTCATATTTTTTGCAAACAAAGTGTTTGCAACTATGAAGAAATTGAGCGAGATGATAATTTTGCCGACGTAGAGAATGGAAAATTTTTATCCCAATATAGAAAAAAGCTCAGTTATTTTAGTACTGAAAATTTTCAAGAAAAAAGAAAAGTTCATTAAAGTAATCAATTACATATGTCATAAGTAGGTTCTTATCTCTGTATACATATGTTCGATTCCAAATGGTTAACAGAGTTTCCTATCACTTTCTATCACTCTCGTTCGAACATTTAGGTTTTCCTTTTTGTCATTTCTAAAGCTAAGAAAACTAATAGTAATAAAGAAAAGGGGTTGACACTGACCCAGAAATCAAATGCATGCTTAATTTGATGCATGCAACTTAAAATAATGCAATACAAAATGTGATCAAATGTGTGATTTAGCCGTCTTTTTATAATTTTCCCAATTGATCAGTACTAAATTAGTTGTGAAGAACAGGTAGCCGTCTGCTGCTTGAAATAGTTCTTCAATATCATAAAACAAAATAAGGAGAAAATTCATGAATAAAATACTTTCTCTGTTCCGAAAAAAAATCCACATAAAATTTTAAATTGTTTTTTAAAAAAGAGTGTACATGATAATTAAGTTGCACAGTTCCATTTTGTGAAAAAAAAAGAAAAAGAAAATAGTTTATATCTCATAATGGAACATGTTAATAAACTTCAATTTCCGCTACCGAATTTTGTATATCAGATGTGACGTACACATAGAAAGTTGTAGAATAAGTGTTGGAAGAAAAGTGTTGTCACGAGATACCAAAATCCTCCTAAATTGTCAACCTAATTTAGTCGGGCACGACTGACTTTACGCAATCAATCATGTCATGGTCGAGTTGTAGTAATTCGTTAGTGATAATCGGGCAAAAACATGTATTTTTAACGTAATAAATGTACTCTTTATGTTCCAAAATTATTGTCCGATTTGAGATTTTATTTTTAGTATAATTTGAACTAAAAAGGAAAACTCAAAATGGACAATAATTATGGAACGGGGGAGTACTAGTTTAACAAATTAGATTGTTTTTGCTACGACTAACATGTTTGATTAGAACTAGAAGGCAAAAAGATTGTAACAATATACGTAATGAGTTCAATGTGGATTAAGAATTTTCATTTCAAGTGCCGATCATAAATAAATTAAACCAAATGACGTGTCTTCAAAATTTGTGTCTCCTATTTGGTATCCATTTTGCAAGGTTGATGAAGGCAAATCATTTGCTTCTTGATATGGATAAAACTTGCGCGTAATATTGCATCAAAGAAGAACAAATCCGAAGAATCTAACCAGTTGAATAAATGTAATTGAAATTCCACGTAGCTAGGTTTCCTAACAAGATCTCTAGCTGTTCATTTCTTTTCCTAATTTTTTTTTTAATAATTTTCTATTTTCAGAGGTGTAAAGAGTATCCACCTGGCCAAATTATTGGTGAAATTAAAGATGTAGAAACTATTTCAACAAAGACGAATAAATTTTATATTTTATTCACATTGTTTTAACATATATTAAATGTGATAAGGAACAGAACTACCAAAGGGAAGAAAAAACAATGAATGAAAACGAAAGTCGTTCATTTTCTTCCAATTAATACAATGCACGTAGGTACTGCGCTTCATGATAAGTCGAGAAGTTATAAGAAGTGAGAAATAAAGTCTACCTATATACAGAATATATATATATATATATATATATATATATATATATATATCTCGAATGAGTCATGAATGAATGAATAATTGCTTTGAACATTTGATTTTGAGAGGTTAATGATTTTTATCACGGACTTTCTAAATTCATGTTTAAATTTTAGGGTTTTTTTTCTTTTTTCTTTTTTTTTTAAGTCAGTATTTATCTTGTAGACTCTTTTCGTAAAATTGAAAGCATTGAAAGTTTAAACTTGTTTATTCATCATTCTCGTTACCTTCACTATGTAATAAATTAGTTACTATTCCGTTTGTCTTACAAAAATAATTCATAATATTATGTGTGAATTGTATTAAATAATATACTGTTTTTCTAAGACAGAGAAAATATGTTTTATTGATATTGAAAACCCCCAATAACAATTTGTTCTAATGAACCCAATGTTATGGGAGCGCTTCACATGTACGAATGATGCAATGATCTTAGTTAAAGTTTGAGTATCTTTATAATTAAAATTACTTAATTTGGATTTGGTTCCATAGCAAATTTGATGGGTGATATAGGTAACACAGAAGATTGATATCTTCAGCTAAGGTTCGTTTTTATTCATAATCTCAATCAATTTGGCTATCAAATTTATGTAACAGTCCCTTATAGTTAAGTATAATAGTACTCCTTTTAATTTTCAGACAATTAGTGTTCGATATTGAATTGTTACGTCGAAGTGAAATTTTGTATCGATCGATATTTATTCCCTCCCTCCGTCTCGTATTTCAGGCTATCAATCTATTTTACGGGGACTCATGTTCGTAGTAGGATTGATATACACTGATCATAATGCGAAAATTAAAATCCTACTGATGATCAATATCGAAAACTTTTTGTGGGTTAGATGTCGTCGAAAGCTAATATTAATTTCTTTGTTATTAAAATCCTATATATATATATATATATATAATGAG